TATTTTGCAATCCCAAGGCATAGAAATCTAACTTGGGTGTGATGAGTGAGGGAGAATAAGCTTTGGCAGTTTCTAAACGTTTTGTATGGTTTCAGTGATTAAGAAGATGGTTTCCTCCTTTTCAAACAAAAGGTGGAGGAACAGGAACTTCTTGGAAATTCTCATTGCATAAACCCAGCAAAAACTTCTGAGTGGGTTACGAATAAGTAGGAGGCTGACGTAGTTTTAATATGTACAGTTGCAGAACACTTCAGACACTAAAACTTAAGGAGAAAACTGTCAGGTGTAGGAGATGAACTGACCATTTCTTACATAGCTATTTCTAAATGATTAGTTATCAATTAAGTATTTTAGTATAATGAATAGGATAAGATTTGAGATCTTTCTCCAGCTGAAGCATCAGCTTAAGTCTTGCTTCCACAAGTGATGGTCAGATGGTGAAATCTGGGAAGTCCCCTAGGGAAAAACAGTAGTGACCAAGCTGGCAACATGAGATTGTTCATCTCAGCAATTCAGAGCAAAAATAACATGTTATTGTTTTTTCCTTTTTATTTATAAAGTTCATAAGTGTGAGTTCTGCTTTTTACTGCAGCACCTTGCATGGTGGTTCTGTAGCACAGAACAGACTGTCTTTTACTGTCTTTTTTTATGGGTAAAATATCTTTTTGAATATGAGAAGTTGTATATCGTGACGGACATCTCCAAAGGCTGCAGCAAAGCTTCCTCTCAGCCGTCAGTGAGTCCTTTTGCTGGAGGTCTGTTTTGTGAAGGCTTCTCTGAAATTACCAGCATGTTTCTTTCAACAGTTGATCTTTCCACTTGTACCCAGTTCCTTAATTATTGCAGTTTTGACTGTTGAATAAAACCCTTGTGCACTTTTCTCCAGATGGCTTATTTACTAAAAGAATATGTTGGGAGGTGGCTAAAAATAGACCTTCTAATGGGTGATATCACTGCAGTATTTCATATTCCTCAGGTGAGTTTTGTCTCCCATTTGTCTGAGATCATCACCCAACAGAGGGTGCTTGACCAGGGGGAATTTTTTTTCAGTTGTGAGTGTGTGTATGTATAGAGGAAAGATGATTTGTTGCCATTCAGCTTGCAGCAGGCTAATTTCCTTAGCATTTCATACTAACATACATCCCTTGGCAAAGGATTAGTCTAAGTATTAATGAATATGCTGCTAGTAATTATTCTGATCATCTGAAATTTTAAGAGGGATAACTACCTTACATATGGCCCAAGGCATAAAAGATGGCAAGTTAAAATGCTATTTAAAGAATACTTATAAAATATTGTAGTAGCTTCTGTGTGCTGAGGGCAACCTCGCTGTGTCGCACAGCTGGTAGCGAGTGTATGCCTGGGGCATAAAGGCAAGTGCATGAGTGAGAGGAAATGTTTGAAAAATTCAGGAGAGAGAAACAAGAAAGGAAGTGATTCCAAACTGATACATCAGATTTATTTGCTCACATATATCACAAGATATTTAGACCCAGTGCTTGTATTGGTTGAAGAGCTGAAATCTAATGGATACCTAGTTTCTGCCTTTAAGGGTGGTATTGCTATCCCTAAAGCAAAGTTAACAGCACTGCAGATCATCCTAGGACAGTGCTTAGACACCTTAGGTAGTTCTGTATTGCATGCAAGAACAGTTCAAGAGACTTAATCCTGCACCTCAAAGTGGTACCCACTTTAACAGCAGGCAGACAACAGGGAAGGGATTGAACAGGGAGAACCCATTTTTCTTCTTAAATGCACATACTCACATGCCCTTTATATATGAGGAGGCTGCTTGTCTTTTGCCTGGTGGAATTATTTTTGTATTTAAAATAAACCTCCAGGTGAAATCAATCATGAAAGCGCTAGAAAAGTATCCATCAATTTGACAGGTTCCCAGAATCTTTCCAGGACAGTCCAATGGTGAGGCCAAAGGGCCAAGTCACATCCATTGAGATGCTCCAGGACTCCACAAGCAGCTGAAATGGGAGCTGCTTGGATGAGGGCTTGGTAACCACTCAACCATCAAGGTGTTTTCCTGCGAAATACCTTTAATAAGTACATTTCCATTCATGCTTGTTTTTTTCTTGACTTTCCTTAGAGGCTTTAAAAGCTCTGCACTTTATTTCAAGTGGGTTTTCATTGTGCGAGGAAGTGCACAGCACTGTGCAGAACTGCACCCAAGAAGAAGACACTCTCTTCCCTCCGAATTTGGCACCTGCCAGGTTCAATTATTAGCGCTTGGTTCTGCGGCCTTAATCCCCTTTGAGAACATGTTACTTACCCAGAAAAGATGAATGAGCTGAGGTCGGTCTTTCTTCTTTCCATAAAAGGCCCAGTCAAATCTAGTTATCCAAAAGAAGAAAATCATGATTCGTCATGTTCTGACATAGTAAGAATTTTTACAGTTTTATATTAACTCATACTAAGATATTAGAATTTCATCGTAATGCTTAACTTGTGAGTAGGTGTTTTAATGGTACTTAAAGTAAAAAAAAAGTTTTAATATCCTTTTTCTTCATTTAAAATGATATAATAGGGAGATAAGTGTTTCTGTGATGAGTTAAACTGACTTGTTGATTATGTTGCCTCTCAAACACCTTCATGTTAGATAACATCCTTTCATGCGCATGCTATTCTTCTGTAAAAAAATAAAGTTTTTAATTATTTTCTAACTTATTTACTTACCGTTTTTTTTTTTCAGTTATTTGCCTCTTAATTTGTTTCTCATTTTGTATGAATTGTCACTGAATTGAAATATATTTAGCTATGCAGTGAAATGGAAGGAACAAACCGTGTAGCTACAGAACAGCCTAGAGCACTAAAATGTTTCCACTCTTAACAAGCAACCTCCACCATCCTCTTTTTAATTTAAGCAAAAGATATTTGGGTTCAATATAACTTTATTAGCAGTGTTAGCATTAACATATTTTTCAAATTAAGTAGCAAGCCTGTATTGTTTTAGTGGGTGCAGCTTAAAAAACCCTCATAGCAACTAAATTACTGCCCTTCTTGCAAATAAACTTTATTTTTATTTCCTCCAGCTTTTGGTTTTTTATATAAACAGACTTTTTAACAAGTTGAATATGTTTTACAACTATAATATTTTACCTCACTAGATTTATTATTTACTAGAACCTTAAAGTGGTATAAAAGGCAGTCTATCCAAGCCTGAGAGTTTTGAAACCCTTAGACTGAGAAGCTCGAGAAAGACAAATATCCCAGGGGATATTGGTGTTCCTCCTCAGGGATGCTTTAAATTGAGTTATTTTAGTTACCTGTGATTTATCCCATTACATTTTTGAGTGTGAACGTTCATTTCCATGAGAACTTCAGTTCTGGAGGATAGACTATAAGTATTACTAGGCTTATTAATATTTACTAAGTATCACAAGGCTAAGTTTTACTAGGATCTTGTCTCTTTAGGATCCGTTCCCAGAGCCGCAGTGACCAACCACCTCCTTAACCAGCTGCTCGGGGCTGTGTCCCAAACCCGGGGTACAGCCTGTAAAGGGGGCTCTCCTGCCCCCAGACACGTGTGCTGAGGTGCCAGTGTGTGCAGGTCTCTGAACTATGTGCTGAAAATTCAGTTTGGGTACAGGGCAGGACGAGCAGAAGCTGGTTTTGGATATAGGCAATCCAGGGACACTTTAATGCAGCTCATTATTATTATTTTTGTTTTAAGTTTGCGCACTTTGTTTATTTGAAGTACAGTTTGCACACGGTTTATTTGAAGGACAAATAACTTGTTTTCAGATTACTTCTATTATGTCATATGATGCTTGATTTGCTTATGTTTTAGTTCAATTAATATTATTACTTTCAACTTTTACTGGCTATAAAGGTTGCAATCTGCTTTTCTGTGAAGAGGTAATAACAGAACCATGCAATCCTTTATGTAGGCCAAATTTCCCCATTTTTCCTGAGCTGGAAGAAGCAGTCCTTGCTTACTTCTTAATACTATCATACTCAAGTTGTATTTTTGCAACCACATAATGAGGCTTAAAACACACAATCTTTTTTTAGATCCCCCATGTATCTACCATTGCATGCTAACTTTAGAGGAGGAGAATGAGAACATGGGCAGTGTGAGTTGCAATGTATTGGGCTACACTAACAAAATACTGTCTTGGATAACTAAATTTTCTGGACAACATAAATTTATTCATTGTAAGTTATACAACAGCATTATGTGGAAAGATTATTAGTTAAAATTGGAGATAATAAGGATTTGAAGAAATATAAGGTGAGTAAGAGTTGACAGCAATAGAGATGGGAGGGGGCTTTGCAGAAATAAGAGATTACCCCTGAAGTTAGCTGGGGACCAGTCCCCTGCTGCTTTAGCTAGAGACATGAATGTTAGGCATGTTTTGTTGAAATCAACTGAAAATAAATTTAAGAGCTTCAATAGACAAGAAAGTGGCAAAAAAGAAATAGACAAGATCTCAGAGATTAGATCAAAAACAGAGCAGATCATGCTGAGGACTGAAGCAATAAATATTTAGAGACCGAAGTGGTACGTGATGCTGGATCCTTGCTGCATTTGCTGCATCTCACATGTTTGAAGGACACGGATGTGCTGCGTGCTCGTTGCAGGACGGGGAGCTGCTGATAGGGTGCAGGTATCAGAAAGCAAAAATAATCCTGAGATACGTGGGGAGGAGCCCAGCAGAGAGGAGAGCACCCGTGTCCCTGTGCAGCAGCCTGGAGCACTTCAGAGGGCTTATTGTCCATGCTTGGGAACAGCAGCTCCGTATGGATGGGGCTGGGAAGGGCTGCGCGCTGCCTGCTGCCCTCCTCATCCTTCCCAGAGAGGAGCAAAGAGTTTGGCCACTTCAGCTGCTCTGTCGGCTGCTCTAGGAGTTTGCGTGTTTAATTCTCCTCTAGATAAAAATCATTTCATTTCAGAGATGGTCTCATGCATTCATCATCACCACATTGTTTTCCTCCATAGTTACTTTTTAATTCTTCACATATCCACTGTATTTTTTTTTCTTTTGTAGAACGGTTCGAGTCTGGCTGAAGAGAGACAGTGGGCAGTACTGGCCCAGCATATACCACGCAATGCCATGTAAGTATATGGAGCTGTTGTTCACTGCCTACTGTGCGTTTGCAAAATGGCTTTTCTGCTTTTGATGAAGCTTTGAGCTTATGACCATTTCCAGCCTTGCCTCTCGCTATTAAATACTGTGCTTGAACAATCCTGTCAGCTGCTGTGAAGCTTTACCAAGTTGCATGCTAATACAAAATCCCCTCTTAAAATTAAAAAAAAAACTCTCCGATGGATCCCTCCAGTACGACGTGCTGTAAATATTCCCTCCCAAAGTGTGTTCTTGCTTTTGAGAAGAACACACTTGCACACTTGAAGCGTCCCTTTTTCCCAACAGACAGTTGAGGACAGCACTTTCCTGGCCTTGTGTCATAAGCCCTGAGCTGAAGGGCTTGCAGCCCTCCAGCAGCAGCCTCACAGGGGCTCTTCACACAGCTTCACATACACTCCTGGTTAGGCCATCCCTGATGAGATGAGGAAGGAAGCTGCTGACCTTAGCTAAGCTTAGCTTAGATGAGGAAGGAAGCTTAGCTGACCTTAGCATTTGCCCAGGCCCACCAAAGTGTTCCTACTGCCTGGAGAAAGTAGTATTTTATGATAACAACTATACAACACAACTATATCTGGAGGATGTTATCTTTCTCTATGAAATATAAGATATTTAATAGATAGAGCTGTGGAACAGTTCTGGTTCCATGGCAGCATACACCTGGGGCCCTAGAGTGGCCATGGTGTTTGACTCTGTGCTCCAAGGAAGCTTGAATTTGGTAAACAGAAAGGATCCCTTGTCTTCCTTTTTGTCATGTACAAGCATTTAAGAGTATTTCAAATATTTAAGGTATTTTCTCTTCAAAATTTTGCTCCAAAAGTTATTAGAAACTCCACAGAGATTTATTTTGGTGGTGCTCTGCCCCAGTCACTAGCAGTGGCTTAGGCTTCACAGGGCTGCAGAGGTTTGTGATCCCCAATCCAACTGTTGTGAAATGGCTCTTCCAGCAGCTTGACGTTGACACTTCTCTTTTTCCATGTGGTGTTTCTGCCTACGTTTGCATTTAAAATCCTGTCAGCTCTTCCTTCAGACTTAGAGAGACTGCATTATTGCCAATAATAACAGTTGCACTGGAAAGGTTTGAGTAGGCCCCAGATCCAATGCAAGGGTGTTATTTTAGAGCTTCTTCACAAATATGAGTTCCTAACAGTACAGTGTGTCTTCTCTAATAGATTAGTAAACTGTAAAGTCATCAGACATGAAAATTGAGTCATGTTATCATTACTTTCAATGATGATCAGGTATAGTTAGAGATTGGAGCAGTGCCAGTTAAATTGTTACCAGCCAAGGCTTGAAGGCTGGCACCCATAGGCTGAGCTCTGAGTCAGTCTCTGCACAGGACTGTGCTGTACTGGAAAATATATATAAATACCTGAGGGGAGAATGTAGGGAGGAAGGGGCCAAGCTCTTCTTGCTGGTGGCCAGAGACAGGACAAGGGGCAAGGGGTGTAAGTTGCAACACAGGCAGTTCCATTTCCATGTGAGGAGGAACTTCTTTCCTGTGAGGGTGCCAGAGCCCTGGCACAGGCTGCCCAGGGAGGCTGTGGAGTCTCCTTCTCTGGAGATCTTCCAAACCCGCCTGGCTGCCGCCCTGTGCCCCGTGCTCTGGGTGTCCCTGCTGGAGCAGGGGGTTGCACTGGATGATCTCTAGAGGCCCCTTCCAACCTCAGCCACTCTGTGAAGATCATCTTGCCTGCCTGTGTGTGGAGCACATCTTTGATCCATCTCTCCTGTAGGGTCGCGTTAGTTTTTCTTGTCCGGAGATGAATTGCTGTTTGGAGTTGCTCCGTGGAGGAGCGTTGCAGGCCTGAGGCTGCCTGGGGGCTGCTGGCAGCCGTGGGATTTGCAGTCCCACCCCTGCTGCCCATGTGTGACTCAGGCCGGCACCTTTGTAGCTGTGGCTGAGTCTGCAGCTCAGCGTGGGAGACGAGGGGCTCGAGGTGCTGGGCCGAGTCACCGCGTGCTTTGGACAAGCTCTCTCCCCACACAGGGCCATCAGTGCAACTTTAATGTGACTGCCATTAAATATCTGGCAAAGGAAGATCAAGACTGTAGATTGCTTGTGGCTAGGGGCGTTTTCTGCTGTTTAGAGGCAGAGTTTCCCAGTTAAGAAGTTTGATGTCCTGTCTGTGGATCTTTCTGGGCTTGCAAAGCTGCAGGCAGCAGGGTAGTCACGTTTTTGATAATCTCCCTCAGCACATGAGAAAGCAAGAGCTGATGGTGAGTGATTTTTTTTTAAGCAATCACCTTTCAAGCCAGATCTCTGCACAGCCAGACAACTACAGAAAGAGCACGAAAGGAAAACTCCCCGGGCTGTGTTTCCATGGGCCTTTCTCAGGCAGGGCTCCAGTGCAGTGTTTAGCACTAAAAGGCTGTTTGAGAGCAAGTGGCACAGAGTGTGGCCTCAGGGGCTGGGGGTGGCTTGCATTCATCCACACTGACACAGTGGCAGGACTTGTTCTGCTCGCAGAAGCCAGTGCAGACAACCCCAGTGTCAAAAAGACGTGTGTGTAGATCAGCAGCAAAGTGGGTAAGCTGGAAACCTGCCCAGTGCTTCACCTGCATGCCAGAGTTATCCCAGCAACTGTATTGCCAAAGGGCCTCTGACCAGCTGGGTGCTGCTCCCAATGGTTTGACTTCCCGATGGTTAGGCTTAGATTTCACCCGTGGGGTAGCGTCTGTACAGGAGATGAAAGCCATATAGACATGAAATTATGAAAAGGAAACGTATTGTAGTCAAGAGAAGTAAGTTTTGCAAAAAAAAAATGGCAAAGTCAACCAAAAAAATCCCTCTCAAATGCAGAAGTTCAGTGAAGGTTTTGATGTAATGAGGAATGGAGAAATATCCACTATTTGAGACAGGTAGTAATCTTCCTGCCTTATGACAGTTTTTGTAGATTACGCTTTGCTTTGAAGAGGAGGATAAAAACCTATGTAAAGCAAAATATGTGTTAAAGCATATGACACTTTTGGGCACTTGCAACAGAAGAGACCTGGAACTGCAGGTGCAAAGTGTGTATTTTTCTTCTCCTTGTGCCACGCTCTAACAGAGGTGCCACACTGTTGAGAACATGAAGTGTATCTGTGGATTTTTCTTTAAAATTCAGTTTTCAAAGGCAAAAATCGGAGCATCGGTGCGTATTTGCCATGTATATAGGGAGAATGATAGAGGCAAGGTTCTATGCCAACCTCGGTAGTGCCTATTTGGCTCCTATTTTGTTCCAGCCTGAAATCCAAACCATAGTAAAGGGTCTCCAGAGGTTTTTTCCTGATTGTTATTTTCAAAGGATATTAAATCTCACGAACTTGGGCCCCCCACCACAACACACACAAACCTTTCCTTCCCCCTCTCCTTTTAATGAGCCTGAGTGCTCCTGTACCTGAATGTCAGTGTAACTTTTAACAAGCAGGCAGCTGCAGTCGTGTCACCACAAGTGGTGTCACTTTAACAACATTAGTGTAGCTAATAAGGGCATAATTTTAATGCTGACATAATGATTTATCCAAGAGTAAGTGTTACGGAAGAATTCCCATAGGAAAATCATTATTGCAGAATAAGTATCTTTACATTGCTGTAGTTTTGTATACACAGATCAGGAGGGCAGGATTACTTTTTTATTGTTATTACCCTGTCTCAAACAGTTGCTTGCACCTTTGTGTCTGAAGTCTTGAGGCTGTTTGGAAAGAGCGTTCTTCAAATGGCTAATTTACCTGTGACATTTTCTCTGAGAGCTCTTAATTGTCCTCAGAGATATTAATAGTGCTTTAGTATATGCACTGGCTCACACTTAGTCTAGCCTTTAAAGCTAAAACCAAGATTATGTCAATTCCAGCATTAAGTGTCTTTAAAAAGATTTGATATTTACTCTCCTTAGAATTGTTTTTCCTTTGTTAGATACTTTTTAGTGTTCTCATTTCTGTCTGAAGAGAAGGTGAAACTGAAGAGTCAGGTTAGCTTTTCTGAGGAGGAGGTGTGGAAAGGAAGGCTTGAGCGTGGTTAGAAGCCCTAATTGAAATGTTTTTATTCTGACACTTCCCCTGAACCGAAGCCTTTTCCCTGATTTAATTGAGTCAGTCATTCCAAGAATGAAAGGAAGGAATAAAGAGAGCTCTCTGATGGCATGGGAATCTGGTAGGCTTTCTACATACAGAGAATTGCAGGGGGTACAGCAATTTCTGTTTGATAGCCAACCTGTATAGAGCTGCTCAATATACATGTCTATATAGCTGTTCTGTTTGATAGCCAACGTATATCCTCTTCCTATAGCTGTGCTACTAACTAAGCTAATGGGGATGACCTGCTGAGCTGACTGGACTGTTTAATCCTGAGAGAGGGATCATGCAAGTTGAGAATATTCCAGCGGGGCAGTACTGCAAAAGGAAGCACTCCAGCCTAACTGGGAACAAGATCTGTGCAAATAATCGTAGTGGAGAGTAGAGGCCAAGAGGGGAAAAAGCAGAACTAAAAGCTTATCTGACTATATGCTATATTTATCACAAGAATATGCTTTTTTTTTAAAAAAAAAAAAAAAGCTTGCCCTATGGAAGGGGAACAATCTCTACCCGTAGCTACAGTTGGCAACTTCTAATGAAAAGTTATTACCAGGGTTTTCTGTCGGGACAGCTGGGCGCCCAGCTGCATGCCGCTGTGTCAGTAGCAGTTAAAGCAGCCCCTGCCTGCTGAATGCAAGCCCACAGTCCTCATTTAAGCTGTGCATAGCTTGGGGATGGTTATTAGAAAATTCTGGCTTTGCCCTGGCATGTGAACCTCACCAGATTCTCAAGAGAGCATTATAGGATTTACTTGCATGGAATTTAAGAGTATATCCTGATATTTATAGAAAAGTTTTAATGTAAAAAAAATCTAGTTTTCAACAGACTTTTATTTTGATCATAATTTATGATACTATAATTTCTTGTCTGTGGTGAAACTAGAGCAGGAGATGGTTAGACTCAAAGCCCTGACTGGCTGATACCTATGAGTTAACTTTCTTACTCCAGATATAAGATGCAAACCTCTGACATAACAAAATTGGTTTATTTTATTGTCAGTGAGGTTCAGGCAAATGTAGGAAACTAAATTATTCTGCTAAGCAGTCTCTCAGATTCATACTGGAATGTCCAATGACTCTCATATCAAGATTACACTGCTGCTCTTGCATGACAGGCCTATTTTCAGATAAATTCAGCGAGAGAAAATGAGGGAACTGGAGCAGAAAGTAGCTGTTATTCCGTGTCCTAATGGGATAGGATTGAATGAATTACAAAAACCTTTTTTTTTTCATTTGGAAGAGGCAAAATGCTGAACACTCCCATAAAGTATGTTAGCTAGTCTTAGCTTTTCCAGAATTTCAAGATAATGAGGATCATGGTTTTGTTAACTTCATCAACATGTTCATTTTTTTCAGCTCCATGTTCATGCATGTCTTTTAACCCGGAAACCAGAAGGCTGTCCATAGGTCTAGACAATGGTACAATCTCAGTAAGTACATACCAAGATTTCTAGTTGAAATGCTTCCCTTTTGAGAAGTCTGTGTGTGATGTTGTGGTGAGGTTATTTTGTTAGTGTTTGGGAGAGAGAAACTTTACTGCTAGCGGAACTGCAGCATAGAAAATGGAAGTTTATTGCAAATTTCATGCCAACTGCCACATGGATTTTGAGTGGGTTTTACAGTATTTATTAGACATCTAAACAAACTGACTTAATTTGCATAGTTCTTAAAAATAACAACATAGAGAAACAGCTGTCATTTTGTTATATTTGAGTGCCTTGTTAATCATACCATACCGAAGTCTTCTGAAAACAGCAATTAAAAGGAGAAAAACCATCTTCTGAGAGGCAGAAGGTGGGTTTCAGCTCCAAACCTAGTTGCTTTTTCAAACTTTGTGGGTCCCATTTTATGTTTTCTTCTCACTTCCTTCATAGGAGACATTCCAAATTGGCAGGGTTGCTGCTGAAAGATGTGGTTCGTGAACATCTAAGAGGATCTCTGTGTGTGGAAAGGAAGGAGAATATTAAAACAGGAGTCTGCCTGCTGGATTTGAGACAGAGGGTACCAGTTGACCTTATGCATTGGATTTATCTTTTGAGATGCCTGTCTAAGAGCTAGATTACCTAGTAGGAGAGAGCCATGGGTCAGAGAAGTATTTTTTCCCTATGCTTGATCAATAGGCTCCCTTTGCAGTTGAAGGACATTTTGCCACCGTTTCATGCTCTCGTACTGGTGTCTCTGTCATACAGGCATTATAACTAAATGAACTGGCCTGCAGGTTGACACACGAGCAGCCCTTGGTGCTAAAGCCAGCCTGGTATTTGGGAGAGGATGCAGGGCCCTTTTAGCTGCTGCCTGTGAGCTGTATCAGAGATGTGAAGGTTTTGACTTATAAAGCCATTAAAACGGCTCAGTAGCAGAGATTTTTGGTGCCCATAGGAGGTTTCAGCTTTTGTGCCTAGGCAGTGGGATAAGTGCCAGAGAATTCTCTGCACCTCTGAGATTCCTCCTTCCCACTCCTTGAAATGGCTTTAATTCGCCAGTCCTGCTAGGCACATTTCTTTCATCAGCCCTTTAAGGAATGTGAGGGCAACTCTAAAGGAGGTTTTTAAATACTCTGCTTGATGCAAGAGATGTGTCCTTCATCCCCAGGGCATTTTGCCTTGACAGCAGGAAGGTGCTTGAGTTGGAATGGAGTCAAGTATTTTCCGTTTTAAGGCTAAAAGTCAGTAAATGAAATGCAGCTTTGGGTATTTAGTAGTCCACATTGCTGTAGATCCTGTCTGTTGCAATGGATACAGATGAACAGATCCTACCTGTTGCCAAGCTGTGGGGTTTTTATGCTGTATTTGGAATACAGGTATGCAAGGGGAAGGCCCCGCTAGCCACAGGCAGCTCTGTGGTAGGAGAGGATGCAGAGCACGGGCTCCACAAACGTCCACGAGTGACAAAACATTTCACATCCCTCTCCAGCCACCTAAGACTTGTAAGAGAAGGCACAGCTGCCGTGCTACAAGAAACGGTGGAGGTGTGGAGGGAAGAAAGGGCACCCCCTTTGCTCTACTGCCGTGCTGAAACAAAATCTGAGGCACTCAAAAGCAGCCTGCAAGCATATTCTAAAGGAGGGGAAGTTTTTCCTTTCTGGATCCCAGAATAAGAGAACTTACTGCCTTAGGGCCCTCTGTGACCTTAGAGGAAAGGGCAGGTGACTTCCTCCCATAGCCTCAGTATTTGGTCCTTGGTCAGCTCTTCCGTTCCCATCTGGTAAAACGCAGCACCCTGGTGTGTGCTGGGAGCAGCTCTGAACATCCTGCCTCTTCACTATGCGTGAAAGGGAAGGACTCCTGGAAAGGCCCCTAAGCTAATACAGTTCTCCTGCGTGTTCAACATAACCTCAAATTAATCTTTACACAGTGCAGAAAAGTGAGGTTTGCTTTCAGAAGTAAATGGGGATAAGTAAGGATTTTTTTTATTATTTTGCAAGAAATTCTTGAAAACTAGATGGCTTTTGGAAGCCTGGCACCTCAGAAATTGCACGGTGTATTTCAGGAAGGATGGGCAAATATGCTGCTGTCAAAGAAAGATGTTCCAACAGTTACCATGAGATGAGTTTTTGTGCCTTGTTTGTACCACGTGAAGCACAGTGACAACAGGGTGACAATTTTCCCGTCTTCAAAGGTGAAGTCAGAGATTTTTTCAGCCTTTTGTAACTCTGCAAGGAGGCTGCACAAACATTTGTGAAGAGTAAAGCACACCTAAAGCAGTGAAGAAGTTTTGTATAGTCTTTATTGCCCTTTGCAACCCCATTTTAAGAAGAAACACCATGTCTTTTACTTTATGTTTAGCAATTGTTTATTATTTTTTTATTATTATTTTAAGCCGAAAGATTTTATTGTGGTCATAAACTCTTCACTCTTAACTTAAAGTGTTTTAATGAGCTCAAGTCTCTGGAGATACCATAAAGAAAAGCAATAGAGGAGGAAAAGTCTTTCAGTTGTTGTAGAAAACTTCCATAGCCAAGATGAGAATCCTTCCCTCACTTCATCCAAGTCGGCTTCCTGGGCAAAAGTAATTGTTAGGCAGAAGTAATAATTAGGCAGAAGTGAATTGTCCTCGGAGATTTCCATGTTACTTACCCTAGAAGCTGTTTTAGAATGGCATGAACCTCTCTTCCATGTCTTCCCTGTTCCCTAAGGAAAGAACTGACGGATTTCTTTTTTATGTTGCGGAAGCTGAATGAAATTCATCTTTTTCTCTGACGAGGTTTGTTCAGACAAAGTTGTTGTACACTCTGAATTGGGCACCAAGGAAAATGGACTGTGAGGACCAGGTCTTCAGAATTCTTTTTTGGAGATGATACTTCATCTTCCACAGCACTTGACCTTGCAGGTGTCCACAGGTTTGGCCACAAACAGCACTCTGGAAACCTCTGATGGAGTTAGGCTCTTCCTGATGATGCTCCCCCTTCCCCCTGCCCCTGGAGCAAGTTTAATCTTGTTACCTTCAGGAAAACAACATTGTATTTTATGTCCTCTTCCAAATTGAGTGTTGTATAAAGTGAACCCCCTGTAACCATTTTACAGAGCTTTTTTTTTTTTTGCAACAGGAATAGATGTAGTCCATGCTGGTAGATTTGAGAGTCTTCATCCAGCCTCGTGCAGTTCTGCTGCTAGTTAGTTGCTCTCTGGAAGGCAAGGTGAGAATCAACTGCTCAAGTTAATAGGATGAAGTGAAGGCTCTTAGGAGATTTGCTCTGTGCTGCCAGAATGACATCACCTATGGGTATAGATAGTAAATTCCTTGGGCTGGGAGCTACGTTGTGAATGGGTGACAGTGTATAATGGTCATTGCCCTTTAGGATGGGATTTGGTTGCCTAAGCAGAGGTCTCCACTGATATTTTTGGATGTCTCATTTCCCTTGCATGTGCAGGATGTCTTGTAGAGCGTGGTCCTATCAGCCAGCCCCAGGCCCCAAGGAGCCTACAGTGGCACCCGATGTGCAGGTTGTGTTTACCTTAACAGGAATAATTTGAGAGAGGAGGCTGGTTTTATTTCCCAGCTGAGGATCTCCAGAGGTCACAGACACAAGAGAAGAAATTCCTGGTGCGTGGTGGGCATAGACCTGAGGAAGATGCACTCCATGAAGGCATAACTAAGAGTCCTTGTGCAGCAATACTGCGGGCACCAGGTTGGAAGTTCAGATGCTCAGAACTTCCTTGTGCCCTGTGGAGGCTTCCGTAGGATCAGGTCACTTAATGGACTGAGCTTACCTTAAAGAGCAGAGATTGAAAATTGGCATTTTCAGTATGGTAGCAAGGTAACTCAAAAAGAAAAGAGAGAAAAAAAGAAAAAAAAGAACAGTTTTGCTAGAAAAAAATGTTTACAATCCCTGAGAGAAAGCACCTCCTGTACAAATACAATAGGACTCAGAAATCTTTCTCTATTTGATTAAAAAAAAACCAAGCACTGACTGAGCTGAGCAAGTGACCTCAGCCTTTCTAGCTCATTAAGTAGAGCCAAACAGCTGCCTAATGAGAGGCGGGTGTCAGCAGCTGAGAGGAGCAAAATACCTGTGTCTGGAAGGATAAAAACCTCTCTCTGTGGGAAGGATTTTTCAAGAGATGCAATCAATGCTTTTGTTGTGCAGGAAACCCAATGTCTGTACAATGGGGCATGAATTTCTTGAGCAAGGTGCCCTGTGTTAAAATACCTGCCCATTGGATCAATTAATACCTTTGGCCTCGAAAGGGATGGGACAGTAAATGCAATGGAAGAGCATGTGAAGCAGGAAGTGGAAGGACTGGGAAAGATTAGAACATATAAAACAAGAAAGATATATCCCTGTATAATACATACTTTAAAAGGAGGAAAGGAAAACAAAAAAATCTCAATAAGTAAATATATATATGTATAACACCAATATTCAGGTTAATGGAACTGAATTTGTTTTGTCCTCTGTTCCAGACATCTTAAACCAATTGTTTAGGAAAAGTGGTGTGTAGTAAATGCACATGGTTGTATTTAAACACATATAGGTACTCAATACTTGGGTGAACATTAGTATTCCAGTTGTGCTTGATTCTTTGCATTATACTTCAGTAACAGAGAGATTCAAAAGCCTTTTCAGTCTTCCCCTGCAGTTGTCTTAATAGAATAGTCATGTCAGATTTATTGCTGACAAGATGGGAATGCCAAGCACATCCTTCCTCCCACCCAAGCCTGTATCTGTGAGCCATAGTGGTGAAGCCTGGGGTCACCACCAGGACCCCTGGATTGGTGGCAAAGGCAGATGGATTCTCCTACTGTGTGTGGCAGCACTTGGAGCTGCCTCTAACAGCAGCAGCAGGTCAATGGTCTCATTACAAAGGGTCTTTCTGTAAGTGAGCGTTTGGTGGGGTGGTTTAGGATTCTTCGGGCAATGGTTATTGAAAACCACTGTCCCCATAGGCAGACAGGGAGGTATAGCTGGTCTTTAACGCTCCGTGGGTTTTTAGAGTCAAGATGACCCTGGTATAGAAATCCAGGTGACTTCATTCATTTGTTTCTGCTGTTCAAATAGCACTCCCTCTTGTAACCTCCAGCTGCCAGGGGACAGCTAATATGAGGTGGATTAAAGGAACAGAAAATGGACTAGAGCACCTACTTACAGCATTTATAACGAGGTTAAGAGCAGAAGCCTGGAAAGAGCAAAATACACAGGTGCCTCCACCCAGCCCCAGTGGCTTTCCCAGAAGCTGGGGCTGCAGATGGTCAGTAGATGATGATGATGAGGAGGAGGAGGAGCAGGATTGCAGCCTTTCCAGGTCGGTGCTGAGCAGGACATCTGATATAGCAGGATAGTCCTGGAAAGCTGTGAGGGGCTGTCTAAAGCTACATGGCCATGGTAGTGCTGACTACCTACAGTGACCCTGTGGAAAATGCAGAGTGCCTTTCTCCATTTTCTTTTTATGTATTTTGGAAACTGTAGGTCAATAGCAACTTTTTAATGGCTTGCATGTCTCCAGATACTCTTATGCCTTTCTATACATGGACTGTTTGGTTTGCTCTATAAACAGTGTGTGGGCTTATGAAGTCCAGTCCCGTTTGCTTTTTTGTTGCACCGTGCTTATAAATGGCAGTTGAGAGTGCTTATAAATGAATATTTCATAGCTGTATGCTTTAAAATGTAGCTTACCTTGTTTGTGTTTCTCTTATTTTCACACTGCTTCCACACAAAATCATTTAAGTTGTGCTTTTTCCATCTCCTAGGTTAGACCAGAGCATTTCGGTGCAGCTTGTTAGAAATCATTAGTACAATGTGTCTTCAGACTCCTTGTATCTTCCAGTTTCCCTGAGCACTCGGTATGTGTGTACAGAGAGCGGGCAGGGGCTTGGACACCAGTTCATGTGGGGTTGCTGCAGAGCCACCTCCTGCCTGGCCCTTCACCCCAGGGTGACGGGCAGGAGTTCTGCTGTTCCTCCACCTCGAGCAACTCTCCTCTTTGGAACAAGCAGCAGGGAAGCCGGGTGCTCACCCAGTTTAACCCTATGGGCCTTTTCCAGGAGCTGAGGCTGCCACGCAGACCCTTGGCTGCCGTTTTCCATCCTCTCTTTGGTCCAAAGGCAAATCGGGAGCGAGGTCAGCAGGACTCACAGATGGACCCTCCTCAGGCAGCAGAGCTTTTCCTAGCCACATGTCACAGCCCCGCACACCAGCTCCGTAGCCACGGGCTGTAATGAAGCAAGAGAGTCTCCTTCTAAGGTTCTAGAATAAATAGCAACCAGCAGCAAGTGGAAGTCCAGGTTTAGTGTTAGTCGGAACTGCTGGGGGACTTAAGTTGGGCTGAAAACCTATCCGGACTCCTGTCACAGAGCGCCGGGTTGTAGTTTGGGCTGAGAGGCCTCAGGGGGCTCCTACGTTTTTAGAGCGGATTTTTGAAGTGTTCAGGTTGGCGTGTGATGTGTGCATGCACACATATGCACATGCACACGTCTGTACACACGTGTGTGCACAGAAAATGCACACATCTGTACACGTGTGTGCACAGAAATGCACACGCGTGCACACTGCAGCCCAGGCTGCCCTGAGGAATGGGCTGGTTGGCATGGGCTGGATTTCAGGTCTCCTGTTGTGTGGTGGGTTGGCTCAGAGCTGGCCGTTTCTGTGGGCGTTTTGTGTCTCTTTTCCTTTAGTAGTTCCTTTTTTATGGCCATTTTACTCAAAAGCGCTTCTGAAGTCATGTCTCAGCAGTTTTAAAAACTGAACTAATTTGGATATTTAGTTGGAGGTACTTAAAATTAGCAAAACTGTAGACAGTGGTGTGGTTGAAAGGAGGAAAGGGCTTAGATTGGTAACAAATTCAAATAAAAACTTTCTCCAACATCTTTACATCTCTAAACACTGTTTCTTTGTTTTTTTCTTCCTTTCTTTCCCTTCCTCCAGGAGTTCATTCTGTCAGAGGATTACAACAAGATGACATTAGTGAAAAGTTACCAGGGTAAGAGCTGTGATCCATGTTAATTAATTGGCTTTGTCATTATATGTATATTTTTAATGTTCTCTTAAAGGCATGAATGGAGATAATTCTGCTTTAATGTGATTGATTTTCTTAACTGATATAGATGCTGTTTTTGTCAATAGATCTTGGTGCTTTGTTCTGAGATTGCAAGACTTGTAAAGAACTATTTCATGTTCTATCTTCTTTTTAAGTGTTCCTTGGGAATATCCTTCTCAATAGCAAACTCCCTAGAATCCAGCATGTGGGGGAAGCAGAGGTGTTAACTTTTTAATTTTAGTCTTTATAATCCAGTGAAAGCACCTAAGAAACTAACTCATCTTTTCAGGGATGAGCCGTTGAGGACTAGAGCTTTCGCAGTTGCTCTGGTTCCATTTCAGTGATGTCTATTTAAGTAATCTCAAGATTATCAGCAGATAACATCATAGTAAAAGGTCAGGAAATGGTAATCCCTGCCTTGCCTTGTTCTGGTGTTCACGAATGCAGTGTTTTCAGTAACCAACCTCTTTGTCCTTGTTAAACCTGTAAAGAGCACAGCATTGTGAGAAGTATTATTGTAGGAAAATGAAGTACATGCTACAATCTGTTTTTCTCTCTTGCTCTTAGGCTAAGAGAGAACTCAATGTTATTTGCTAAGCATTATGCTTCTGTGCAGAAGCTTTCAGTATAGAAGCCAGTGCTGGCTTGACATTCCTCACATAAATTTAAAATATATGTTTACTCATATATAAGATAGCTTGAAAGGTTGAAGGGATGATTTAAATCTCCAAATGAAAGCTCTGGGGATCACTTAGTTACATTTAGCTTTCAAGGTGTAAAGAGAATTTTGATTTCACAAAACATGGTTAAAATGCTTCTGCTTTTAAGTGTTTGGCTGTGGGTTGTAAAATCAAGCTAGAAAGTCTAAATTGTTTCTTAGCTTGTGAGAAAATACAGAAAGATGATAAAATACCTTAAATAAGATTGCTGTAGTCTTACTTTATAAATCTTTAGTATCTGAATTTGTGATTTTGTGATTGCAATCACAGAAGTTTGACCCCCCTAAGTTATATGTTTTAAGAGCTGTTGCACTGAATAGTCACAGAAACGCAGAATGATCCTAGTGACTCTTCCATACTTCCCTTTGTAATTAGCTCGTGCGTTTGCATGCTTGGATTCAATCCTGCAGTCTGATCACCCTGATTAGGGGCTGAAATCTTCTGTTTTTCTTTCTTCTGCTGATGGTTCTTGACTGTCATAGTACATTTATGTTGTGATGTATGGAAATAGATTTCATGCTGTTGCTAAACTGATGTTCCAGTGCTTCCATTTGCAATTTCTGCGGAGTGGTGCAATACTGAGAATAGATAGTAAATGCTCCTGCTTTCCTTGACTTTTTTTCCAGCAGATAAATGGAATGGGACAGCTCTTTGAGATGCTTGGGTTATCTTAGTATGCAGCACAGGTTGTTTTGGGGCACAGAACCTCCTTGTGGCCCATCTGGTTCAGTGTGCAGAGCTCATGTGCGATGCCAGTGTGCAGGTCAGGGCTTTCTCCTGCTGAGGCCTTTTCCCAGGCACAGGTTGCCATGAAGTTTGTTGTCCTTGTCTGCCTTGAAGGACCGACGTGCCCTGTAGCCCACTCTGCTGGTAAATGGGAAAAGGAGGTACTGAAGTATGGAGTGGGACTTGTCTACTCTGGGGCCCTTTAGGAGTGATTGCTTATAGGATACACGGACAAGAATGGGACTCTGGAGGTATCTACAGGTTTGTCCATGCCCTGACGTGCATTTCCAACACCAATACTTTCTTAGGTAGTCAAAATAAAAATACTCAAAAAGTTGTGTCTTATTCTATTTCATTGAGCCTTTGAGCTTAGGCTCCCTGTTAGTGATTGCAAATGGTCACAAATGAAGAAGATCACGTATCTCAGGGGGGTTGGACTAGATGATTTCTAGAGGTCCCTTCCAACCTCACCCGTTCTGTAGGATTTTATGTCTTGGCAGTATGTCCAAATGACTGGGCAGTTGACTGTGACAGCCTTCCATGGTCTGTAGCCTAGCTAGACATAAAAGAAAAAAGAAAAAAAAAAAGGAAAAAAAAATGGCTCTGTTCTTGGCCCTCTGCTACAATGTGGCAGATGTGCTGCTTTTACAGGGCATTGCAGGTCTTTGGACATGCCATGGAAAGCTTCCACGGCCATCCCACCAAAGAACCCCACGAGTTCAGATGACATGTCCTAAGTGTTGGACAACAGGACGTCAGTGACATTCCCGGAGAGGCAATAGAACTGTCCACAGTCTGAAACGGAACCATGTCCTCATGAGCCTGCTTCTGCCAGCATGGGAGGAACCTCTGATAAGTCTGGTTACTTCTTAGCAGGAATCTCAGGTGATGAACTAGAAGTTATTATCTGAGAGCTGTGGACTTACTTGAAGAGACACTCATTCGCCACGTAGGCTGTGGTGGCATCACCCCACATGCCCTAGGCCAAATCACAACTTTGAAAGCTGCTCCGTGCAGCCATTGCTGATACCTGGCAGTGTCTGTCATCAGGAACTGAAACCATGTGTGCAACATTCGGTGTCTCCAGTATCTGTTAGAGAAACCTGCACAAAAGTCCCTGCACGGAGCCCTTCTCCGTCTTCCTCCCTCATTTCACATGTCTGATGCTTGATCTTTTCATTTGATCATTTCACAGTAATGTTGTGGGTGTGCAGTTATTTCTAGATGACCTCCATGATGCTGTTAATGAAGATTTAAAAAGGTGTTTAAGCCGATGGGAATTTTATTCTTCTTTTTCTTCCCCAAGTGCCAGTATAAGAGTGACTTAAGATTGGGAGGAGAAGGAAACACAGTGATCCCAAATCCACCCATACAATTGCTTGCCCCTAGGGCACTGCAGCAAAAGGTGGGCTTTGAAAACAAAATATATCCTGGGTTTCTGTTGGAGATGCGTTTTCACATACACACGAGGTGAGAGCAACCCAAAGGGTTGCACAACTGGAACTTGTCTGGGCTCCTGCCTGGACCCACAATAGGGTGGCATGGAGTAAGTGACAGCAACCCGGGGATGATGTCAGGTTGCTTGTCACCCAAAATCCTGGAGGGTGGTTGAGGAATTTGATTGCACAAGGGAGGAAAATAAAGCAGAGACTCCTTGCTGGTTACAGTGCATTAAAGACCCAAGGCATCCTAGTGCCTCCTGCATGCAGCTTTTCCTCTCCTCACCCTGCATGCTGTGGTAGGGGAGCACAAGACCCCGCGCGTAGCTCCAGCCAGCTCCCAAGGCTCTGGAGACTTGGCAGGCTGGAGACGAGTCACACAAGTGGGATGCGCTGGAAGCTGCTGCGGCTCCCAGAGCTGTCAATCACAGACTCCAGGAGCTCCTTTCCACACTGGAATCCACTTCCATGCACAGATTCCACACCGGAATCCACTTCCATGCACAGATGCCTGCATCCATAAACTGAATCTGAACCAAGTAGGCACATCGCTAGGATCAGAGTCCGACAGTGCTGTGGGACACAGCAAGGGGAGAGGGACTCCAGCCTCTACTGTGCTCTTGGGGAGAACACCTGGGGATCCCTTGGGGGAACCTGTGGAGATAGACCTGCCTCACCTGCTCCGGGTGACTCTCCTCCACAGCTGCCCTCTGCTCCACAGCTGCTTCCTTGTTTGTTGCTTTTCACTTTTGTAGCCTTCTGGGAAGACCTTTTCCCTTTACAAACAGTACGGACCCTCCATCTCCTTCACTGTCACCCCTGGCATTCTCATGTGCACCTCCTGCTGCAGCTCCTTCCCTCTGCTCCCCCAACTGCCCTTTGCACAGTACTTGCCTCTCGGGAGCACTGCAGACCCCTGCTGCCTCCCACCCTCCTGCTGTCCACAGACCAGCTCCCTGCCCTTGTTGCTGCTTCTCTGCCTTCTATGCGGCATCATCTTCCCCCGCACACAGTGCTTCCTTCTCCATATGGGCTGCACAGATCTGCTCTTGCCTGCTGCTCACTGTGTGGTTTTTCCCTCACCGTGGCCACATCCCCATCCCTATCCCCACCCCTCTTCTCCTTCCTGCTAGTGTTGCAGCAAGCTCTTTGGGAAATGTTTGCTCTGCTTTTGTTCTGCACACAAATGGTGGTCAAACCTTCTGCTGATGAAGGACCAGCTTTTTGCTTGCAGCTTCATGTCCTTGGTCTTTACTTAATCATAGGGCCCAGACCCCTTCTTTGCTCTGATAGCAACTTTAGTTCTTCTGATATTCTGCTTCTTTAAGCCTTACAAGGGTCAAATTCCCTCTAAATGACAAGTGGCTTTCTGCATGCATGTGTTTCCTCCCTTCCTCAGGTAACCTCAGCTGTGGTTCAGGTACTTCTGTCCTCAGCACATGTGTGGTGGTACCAGGAGATGAGTGCAGGCCTTGCAGGTGGGCAGCCAAGTGTTGAATGGAAGCTCTCTCTGGGGAGAGAGGATAAGAAAACTAGAACCCCTCTGCTTCAACATCTGGGTGTGCTTACATTTCCCTAACATCTACTGCTTACTTAACAGCAGAGGGAGTAAACCCTGCGTTGCTTCATCACCCACAGATAGTACTTTGAGCAAAAGGTGCAACCCTGCCTTTCAGAGGAGTTTTAGGAGTAGATGTCCAAGCACAGGGCCAAGAGAGACTGATACATTGAAGGAAGGCATATAACAACGTGCCAGAAATAGCAGAATTACCAAGCAGACTGTGGATCTAGGATGGATGAAAGGGTCTAGGCTAGTGTAAGCAGAAACAGAAAAGATGATTAAAAAAAGTATGTTGGGAAATCAATTCATCATTCATCAATTGGAACACATCCAGAAACAAATTAAATTTCATACGGTAAAAGATAATAAATTTCATACGGTAAAAGATAAGGGCTGTGCTGCCATCCAGAGGGACCTGGACAGGCTGGAGAGTTGGGCAGAGAGGAACCTCATGAGGTTCAATAAGGACAAGTGCAGGGTCCTGCACCTGGGGAGGAATAACCCCAGGCATCAGTACAGATTAGGGGTTGACCTGCTGGAAAGCACCTCCACGGAGAGGGACCTGGGAGTCCTGGTTGACACCAAGTTAACCATGAGTGAGCAGTGTGCCCTCGTGGCCAAGAAGGCCAATGGGATCCTGGCCTGCATCAGGAGGATGTTGCCAGCAGGTCAAGGGAGGTGATTCTGCCCCTCTGCTCAGCTCTGGTGAGGCCGCACCTGGAGTACTGTGTTCAGTTCTGGGCACCCCAGTATAGGAAGGACGTGGAGCTTCTGGAGAGGGTCCAGAGAAGGGCAACCAGGATGATTAAGGGAATGGAACATCTCTCGTATGAAGAGAGGCTGAGTGAGCTGGGCCTTTTTTCTCTGGAGAAGAGACGGCTCAGAGGGGATATGATTAATATGTATAAGTTCAGGAAGGGAGAATGCAGGGAGGAAGGGGACAGGCTGTTTTCACTGGTGGCCAGTGATAGGACGAGGGGTAATGGCCACAAGCTGGAGCACAAGAAGTTCCGTCTCCAGGTGAGGAGCAACTTCTTTACTGTTAGGGTAACAGAGCAGTGGAACAGGCTGCCCAGGGAGGTTGTGGAGTCTCCTACTCTGGAGGTCTTCAAAACCCGCCTGGATGCCACCCTGTGCCACATGCTGTAGGTGTGCCTGCTTGAGCAGGAAGGTTGGACTAGATGATCTCTAGAGGTCCCTTCCAACCTTAAATATTCTGAAATATTCTGAAATAATATCTCAGTATTTCATTTGTACGACCCCTGCTGTCATCATCACCTCTGTAATAAATCTAGAATTATAACCTCTGATTTTGAGACCTTCTGTGGTACCCTCTGTCAGAGGCTGCAGATTCTTGCGGACCAAGAATGCTGCAAGAAGACATGAGTTGCAGTCTAGACCAGGTAAAGGATCTCCCCGCATCAGAGCAGGGTTTGCAGCTGTTATTACAGACACTAGCTATCTACAGAGCATTTAGGATGACTCGATCTACCATGTCCCGCAGACCTCTCACAGGAAGTTTTCCACATGCACATTTCACATCTTGGTGTTGCACAGAGTGCAGCTGAAGGGATGAGATGGTTCAGCATCATCTGTGAAAGGCTGCAAAATGCAGCAAGAAAGTGGTTGTGCTACACTAACTACACTACTGATGAGTATAGACCTTCTGTTTTTTACTTCTTCCTTTTTCAAAGAATACTTAAAACATTTCATTTAGCTTTCATGAATTCCCATTTAATAGTGGAATATGCAGGCATTGTGGTGATGGAAGGAAATTTGGGCTTCTTGGCAGAAATACAGAGATGCTACATGAGTTTTCGGGGAACAAATGTGGAAAGCTAAGGCTGACCTCTGGTTGAAACTAGTGAGGACGTGAATGGCAACCAGAGAGGCTTCAGTAGGTATGTCCAAAATGAAGGAAATACTAATAAAAATGTGGTCCTGCTCAGTGGGGCAGAGGACCTAGTAACAAAGGACTCTTCTCAGTGGTGGCCAGTGTGAGGACAAGGAGCAGTGGGAACAAATTGAAACACAGGAAGTTTCATCTCCATGTGAGGAAGAACTTCTTTCCTGTGAGGGTGCCAGAACCTTGGATACAGGTACCCTGGAGAGGCTGGAAAGGTTGGAGAGTGTCCATGCTTGGAGATGCAAGGATGTCCCCTGGGCAGGCCTTGAGCAGCCTCCTCACGGTGGCTGCTTTGCACTGCCATGCCAAGGAGGTGCCAGGCCCTGGCCGTGACATTGCAGGTGAGCCCCAGAGACAGAGTCACCCGATGGGGCTCCCTTTGCCTTGGGCCGGGGCACTAACTACTGTAACCGCTGCCGGGGACACTGAAGAAACACAGTAGTCACCCGTGCAGTCCCTGAAGTTCTTCCAGGAGGAGAAATCTGGAAGACTGGAGAGGAGAAAGGATGTGTTTAAACAAGCTCCAGTCACTCCTGGGTGGTCCCTGTCCCTGTGTCTTGATAACAAACGTGGAGTTTGGAAGTGTGCGGAAATACAGGCCATAATCTGAGGTCTGCTGAGGGTAAAAGCATCTGACACAGTTAAAAGTCTTGTGCTGTAAACTGCTCCCATGCCGAATCAGTTAGAGCAACCTGTGTGGATGCCTAAATTGACTTTGGTCCTTGGAGGATCCACGTTTAAAGAGTGGTGGGGATCAGAGACAAGTGTTGGCCTGTGCAGGCCCTGCTGCAGCTAATTCCCTGCCCAGGGTCTGCTCACGGTGCTACTCTGAGCTGTAATTTCAATGGGATGGGCCTCAGCCTTTCCATAGTCGTGAGGCATTTGACTCTGTATTTCAGAGTGGGGTTTGAGGGAGGTTTTCCAGCTTCCAAAACTGTTCATTCTTTCCAGCCTGTCAACTTTTACACAAACAAACAGGAGGAGGCTGCTTTGCGAGACACATGTTCCTGGGTCCCAGAACAGCCATAAACCAGAAGGCCTGTGGATTGAGGAATACGGCATTCACTGTGAAATTGCAGCTGGGAACAATTCTGCGTGTCTTTTAAGCCATTTGTTTGATTAAAAAGTCAGCTCGCTCAGCACTTCACCACCAAGCCCACTGATCATTCATAGAAAAAGCCCTCTGTAAAAGTCTGGGTTCCACTGCTTTGATGAAAAGCCTTTGATGGCTTTATTTAGGTAGCAGGAGAAATTTATTCGTTCAGCGGTTTTATTCATTTTGCCCAGCAGTGCTCTTTGTGGGTTTTTATTGCCCGTATAATTTGCAGTGCACCTGCAGGGCTCAAACTCTCCTTTGGTGTGAGGTTGTACCCATGCCGGGGCTCATGAGCCGGCCAGACCCAGCAGAGCTCCGGGGGGAGAAGCAGCAGCAGCCTCAGCCTGGGCATCTGCTGTGGAACAAGCTCCAAATGGGCTCGAGTGTCAGCCCTCAGTCACAGATTCACAGAATATTCAAGGTTGGAAGGGACCTCTAGAGATCATCTAGTCCAACCTTCCTGCTCAAGCAGGCACACCTACAGCATGTGGCACAGGACGGCATCCAGGTGGGTTTGGAAGATCTCCAGAGGAGACTCCACAACCCCCTTGGGCAGCCTGTTCCACTGCTCTGTCACCCTAACAGGGAAGAAGTTCCTCCTCACCTGGAAATGGAACTTCCTGTGCTCCAGCTTGTGGCCATTGCCCCTCGTCCTATCGCTGGCCACCAGTGAAAACAGCCTGTCCCCTTCCTCCCTGCATTCTCCCTTCCTGAACTTATACATATTAATCATATTCCCTCTCAGCCTTCTCTTCTCCAGAGAAAACAGGCCCAGCTCACTCAGTCTCTCCTCATACGAGAGATGTTCCATTCCCTTAATCCAGTCGTTGCTTTGTTGGCGATGATAAGAGTGACCAAGTGAAAAACGAAAAAGGCTGGGGAAAGGAAAAAGGCAAGGGAGGGATTAGATGCTGCCTCTCAATTTCTCGTGCAAACATGGAAGTTGCCAAGCAGGAGCCTGACAGGTAGCTCATGTCGATGCAGTTGTTCAACCCAAGGTTCCTCTGTGGGGAAGGAGCCCGAGATCTGAGTGCGGGACGGTGTGTGCAGCCGCCCCCTCCCTGCGGCGCGCTCAGGTGCTTCTCCGTTTGCCTTGCAGCTCATCAAAGCAGGGTCATGATGATCCTGTTTGTCCTGGAGATGGAGTGGGTGCTGAGCACGGGCCAGGACAAGCACTTCACATGGCACTGCTCGGAGAGCGGCCAGCGCCTCGGCGGCTACCGCACCAGCGCGGGCGCCTGCGGCCTGCAGTATCCTTTGCTGAGCTCCCGCTGCTCCCGCTCGGAGCACACAGGCCCCGGAGAACCCTGCGTTTTTCCACTTAGACAGCCCTTTTTTTAGGGGGTGGGGGTTCTAATTGTCCTCCAGCTTTTGTGCCCAGCGCAGTGTTTTCTGAAAGAAATAGTTATTTAAATCCGATTTAACAAAGCTGTCTGTCCTCCTCGCGTTGCCTCTTTAACGCATGGTGGCATATTTAGGTCTAAGCATTTTTAAACAAAGCAATGGGCAGTCTGCGACCGACTGCTGAAATAAATATGGACAGGGCCCTTGTTTAACCATGCGGCCCCTTCTCTCTTGTACGAATTAACAGTAGCAAAGTAGGTCAGTGGTCACATCAGTTTGCCTATGTGTGTGGATGGTAAGAATTAAATGACTTAAATATAAAATAATGAGCACTTGTCCTTCACTCTGGAACAGCCCACTGTGTGTTGGAGTTATGGGTTATCTGAATGGTTCCAGAAATGGCACTCAAGTGGCTTATTCAGCTAGAGCTGCCCCAGCTGCCTGACAATAAAAGAAATATTAATTCAGATTGATTGCAAATGAAAAGGAAAGTTGAAAAGTTTGAGCCCTTAGGTTGAAACAAGGGGTTAGCACAGGCAGAGCCCTGTAGTGTATGTGGTAGAGGCAGGGGGTGTTTTCCCAGTTCCTGGGCAATGAGACTTAACTCAACATTGTTGTCTGAACAAGTGAAATATGTATGGACCTCCTGTATATCATCTGGCTAAGAGAAAACTGAAATCCTTTTTTAACTGAATGGTCTTTTGGAAGGTCTGATCCAGCAATTTGTTCTGTATTTTCCAAACCTCTGCTGGGAACTGACCTTTTCAAGTGATTTAAGATTTGGGAGGTCACTTTGGTTTGGGTCATCAGATCCTGTTGGTGAAGGACAGGAAAAGGGAGGATCATTTAAATGTATCCTAAAAAAGCTTGGCAGAACCAGGAATGTGCTTATTCCTAAAGCCCTATGTGAGAAAGATGAGTGCTAAGCAGTAATTCCTTAAATATACAATATAGAATTTAAATGTGGAATTAAATCAGATTAGCATGTCTGCACCTATCCAAATAGGTTGTTCTGGCAGTTAGTTGAATGGGTTCAGTGGGTTCAGATTTTGTTCGGTGGGACACCTGATGGAGCTGGCACTTCCCCACATATGACATAAAAAACACAAGTAGGCTTCTCTAACTCAACCAAGTGTCACCAAATTGCTGTTAGAAACCACTTAAGCAGATACCCTCTGGAAGACTTCTATGAGATTGACCAGAGATCTGGGAAAAAATAGGAATGTTGTTTTTGTAAACCTAATTATAATGAGAAGTGGAAAGCTTCCCATTGTTTTAAACAAATTGAGGAAAAGATAGAGACAAAATGAACAACATCTGACTCTAGCATCTTAGTTACAGAGCCGAGGGAGATGGTACCCCTTTGTTGGTGGTGAAAGGGTTTCTTCATGAATGATTTATAGTCAAAGCACAAATTACATCTAGAGTAGTCTTATTTTTCCCCTTGTCTACATGTTGTACCCCCAGGAGACTGAACTATCAATATGAACAACGGAAGCTGGAGGCCTGAAAGTCTGTGCTGAATTCCTCTTTGAGACTTGAGCACTATTCATGAGGATACAGTAATATACATGTTAAAAGAATTAACAAGCCATAAAAAGCAATGGGTAACTTCTGTAAGCAACGTGTATTCCTTAGCTCTTATCCCACCAGATTTGACGTGGAAACTCGGCATGTGTTTGTTGGTGATCACTCCGGACAGGTGACCATCCTCAAGCTAGAGCAAGAGTCCTGCAGCCTCGTTACAACGTTCAAGGGACACACAGGTGAGGCTTCAGGAGGTGTTCCAAGCTGGTCTTCATCACTGTGATCCGACTCCCCTGTGAAGCCCTGGGATGTGCAAGTGCGTAGCTGGAAGAGACACCAGACCAGCTTAAGCTGCCACCAAAACTCAGGGAAGCAACTCTGTATTAGTAAAAGAAGGATCATATTTCTGAGAAAGGCTGATAGTTCCACAATCTGCACAAGCTGCAAGTTAAAGTAGAGTTAGGATGAGTGCTGCAGTAACTCTGGTAGGAAAAGGTGCTCCTCAGAGAAGGATGCACACTAGTAAATGCTTTTGCCCACATGGGACAAGCACACTGTGGATGTGCATATCAGAGCTGTTAACTAAGTGCTTTTTCAGCTGCTGGGGCTTGTGCACTTTAAAATCAGCAGCAGTCTAGCATCTAACAGCAGAATTTATGGTCATTCCTCACCATCTCCTCATATCCTTGGTGGTACTTTAATCTTCAGTGAACTTGCAGAGTACCTGATACCTCCCTCCCAAGCCTATCCTTGCTCTGAGGAGACATCTGGGCAGAACACAAGATAGTTAATCCTCGTGCTGTGATACCAGGAAAGTGCCCATAATATTCCTTGGTGGCTTCTCTTTGTTTTCAGTAAAATTTTACCTCCTAGGAATGGTGGTGAAATACTGTATAGTTCAATGGTGGCTTTCCATCCACCTCCCTTTATTGCTCATGGATTCCTATAAGAACAGCGTATAAGATGAGTAGGCTTTCCAGGTAGCATGTTTTCAGTTGGCGAGCAGAGTGTGTGGGCTGCATGACCCTTGCTAGATAGACCTACATGATCTCTTTGTATTTTGGTGGTATTTTTAATGTATATGTTTTTAACTACATTTGTCTCTTCTACTTTCAGTAATGAAGTGACTGTTCTGTGGATCTCCTGTTTTAGGTGGCGTCACTGCTCTCTGCTGGGACCCAGTTCAGCGAGTTTTATTCTCAGGCAGTTCAGATCATTCCATTATAATGTGGGATATTGGAGGAAGAAAAGGAACAGCCATCGAGCTGCAAGGACATAAGTATGTTCAAAGCCCTTCCTCATGTTTTCCTGGGAGAAGAGTTAAAGGCAGAAATGACATCTGGACACAAACAGCCCAGGGGTTGCAGTGCCGTATGTTTGTATGTGCAACTCCCTATGGTCCACATGTGAGGGGAATAAATTGTTTTTAGTAAGGGGAATAAATTGTTTTTAGTAAGGTTTTTAGCATGGGGCCCACAGTTTGCAAATGATGATGGAGAAAAACGCAGCTATTACCTATAACCTGAATGTGTTGTGCAGGAGTCCTCCTCTTTTGAGGGCTCCTCAAATGAGAAGAGCTGCCAGGGATTTCTGCTTCTTAGGTGCCAAGTTCTTTCTTTCCCCTAGAGGGAGCATCAGGCCTGGTGAATCAGCCCCTTTTAACTCACTGCTAACCCTGTATTTTACATTTCACTGTATTTACAAACTGAGATGTATCTAATGTGGATTAACCATGAGGTTTCCACCTTCTCCTCAATGCAGAGAGACTCGACCTTTGCAAATACAGACCTCATGTTTAGATAGTAAAGCAGATGTCTTTGAAGGAGGGTAAGCCTGTGCTGGACGCTGAGTAGAGAGGTGGAATAGGTTGCAATTTGCAATTAATTGCAAAAAATTGCAATTAATTGCAATTAATTCCTAGAGTTTTACATGCTGATAGTTTGGGTCAGTGTATTGAAAGGTGTATATACGTGAAACTTGCTCCAGCATTTACATCCTCCTGCATGCACATACGTTTTTGTGCAGGATGCTGTGCTTTGATGAATGATTTGTTGGGGCCGCATGCATTTCAGAGCCCTGCAGAGCTCCTACTGAAATTCCTTAACGTGGCTGCTAGCTAATGCCCCACAGCTCTATTTATTGCAGTGGAAATCAGTCCTTCTAAGATGCAATTAGCCTCTGCATCTTATGTGTAGAATAGCTTTTGGCTTGCACTGTGCCCAGGCAGACCTGGCCCTGAGCACATGGAGTGTTTCACTTAGTGGAGCTCTTGCTCTGGCGCAGCCAGTGCTGCCCAGCAAGGCTGTGTTATTCCCAACAACCCAACTGTAAGACACGGCTGTACGGAAGAGCGGCCGTATGCACAGACAGATGGAGCAATAGGAAAGGCCTCTGCGTAGCTGAAGCCAGTTGTGCTGGCAGACAAAGCTGATTCCAGAAGGTATGAGGAATTTCCAGTCCCTACACACTGAGTTACTGCCCTGCTAGCCTATCTTGTTGTGCGGTGGTTGTTTCCCCAAGTCATAAATATTTGAGATGAGGTCTGGTTTTGGTTCTTTGATGATGGACCAACCTTAACTTTGGGGATTTTAACTGAATTGTTTCTCCCATATTTTTTTTTCCCTTGAAAGAAAGGAAAAAGCACCTAAAACTTCCACCTTACCTCGGGAAAACTTAAGAGCAATATAAGGGTTTCCGTTTTACTTTTCAAATTTTCCCTGCTTATTAGTGCTAAAATAAGACTGCTTCAGCAGTTCTTCAGCACTTAATTTTTGCATTTTGCAGATATTCACCAAAGCAGTGTTGTTGCTAGCTTTCTGACCAGGAATCTAGGCCCAGGGCTACATTTGTGTGTTCAGAAATGTACATTTGTGTGTGTGTGTGTTCAGAAAGGTCTCCTTAGAGGCCCTAGATCTCTAGCTTTGTTGTGGCTTTCCAGCAGAGCTAGGACGTCTTGTCTCCCCCTCCTGACCTGCAGGGAAAGCAGTTACTGCAACAGCCTTGGTTTGCACGGCTATATTCATGGTATATTCTACATTTTTTTGTTAGCCATAAATGGTTAATTAACACCTTTCCTGTTTCTTTTTTCAGTGATAAAGTGCAGTCTCTCTCTTACGCTCAGCACACTCGTCAGCTCATCTCCTGCGGTGCGGACGGAGGCATCGTCGTCTGGAACATGGATGTGGAGAGACAGGAGGTAGGAACTCAGGTCCTGCAGGCTCTGTCTGAAACCATCTTGGGAAGAAGACTTCTTTCCGAAATGTGTAACTTTCAACTTGAACAGGATTGTTCCAAAAATATTTTCTGACATGCTCTGGTTATTATACAGCAATTATGCTGTGCCTTTAATAATATGGTACAGGGCTAATTATCTGGCAAAATCTTTGTATTAAATCTGACAAGAAGCTTCGTATTATGTATGCTCTGAAATGGTTTCTACCCTTTCCTTTGCTGCTCTGAAAGGTGAAAGGCATTCTCTAAAAAGGATGCTGTGAGATGCTCTGTTTTGTTTTATTTTTTTAGGACAGCATGAGAAATGTTATAGTTCAGAGACAGATGATGGATTGAGATGACGGATTATTTCACTAGTTTTCTTCTAAGAAAGCAGAACAAGAAAGCTGTTTGCTTTCTCTGGCAGCCTGCATTTTGATCCATTTTTCCCCTGCCCTTGCTAAAAAGGCTTTTCATTACGCCTTCAGTCTCATCCAGCACTCAGTCTTGCTGCCCTCTGGTGCAACCACATGAAACAGCAGCAAACAGCGACTTTGCTGATCCTGCTCTTCCCTGGGCCGTGCCCAGTGCGCTGCCATATTCCCCAGGGAAAGCAGGGCCAGGAGACAGCCCCGTATCCCGCTGGGCAGGTAGGTCTGGGGTTATTCAGCCAGCGTTTCCACTGTGGCTGCAACGGACACGGCTGGGATGAAAACACCTTTCCTTTACCCTTTACTTTTAACCTGTGGTGGAGAACGTGGCCGTAATTGAGTGGCATTAGAGCAGAGCAAGGAGGGGCGAGGGTGGTGGATTTTTCCCGTTCACTCAATGCTCTCGACAGCTCAGTGTTTAATCAGCTTTGCTGTATCCCCAGAAGGGCTTTTGGTCTCCCCTGCTTGTGTGGGTGTCTCTCAAGCAAGGGCTCTGGAGACTTTCCTAAGTGGAAAATTGGATTTAAAAATCCGTTGGAAAAGGCCTAGGCAGGAACTGAGCCACTCAGCCCCTTTTGCACATGAATAACCATTCGGTTGGCTCTCTTTAATTGCTAATCTAATGGCCAATTATGTCATCAGCTCCAGAAGTGAAACGAAAGCAGAGCTGCCGCCTCCCTCCCACCAGATGTTTCCTCCACCCTGCAACTCAAACATCCAGAAAGGAAAGTCTTATTTATTTGCTGCCTTAGAAAGGCTACAATAAGGGTTAAAAATGGGCTTGTTGTGAAACAAATGGCCGCGTGGTAAGAGGACTGTTTAAAAAGTGGAGGAGAAAAGTAATTAGGTAACGAGGGCCCAGCAGCTTACGGGTGCTCTGCTCCTCTGGCTGCAGCTCCCTGGGCTCCTCCTTGTTGTCGCTAGTGCAGGAGGGAGCCATTGGGCTAAATCACTTCCAAAACTGGCCTCTTTGGGATTTTAATACCACATCTTGCTTTGGGGTCCTACAGTACTTGCCTCTGGATTTTGCCTATTGTATTTTTTGTCTGTTCTTTTTTCTTCCATGTGATGCTATCAGATTTTCCCACATAGTTTTTGAATGCATTAAGCCATTTTTTTTCCCCCTCAGTTTCTTTTTTTTAATTCTATGTTTAAAAACAAGAAGCAAGTATCTGAAAGATGCTAGAAGCCGCGCTTCCATTTTACTGCAAAGCAGCAGCAACTGCTCAGTAGTCACTAGCAAAGCATCTTATTTATGCAAATACAGCGTTCAGCCACTTCAGAGATGAAAAACAGTCACACAGATGTAAATCCATAGGCATTAAAGGAAAAGACAGAGAGGTGGGTAGGAGGGACAGGAATTTACCCCTGCAGGATGGCTGGTCTTTACAGCTGGAAAAGCTGAAACAGGCGGCTGAGGCTCGGAGCAATCGGGGCGTTGAGGCCCCCAGTCAGCTTCCCCATAGGCCTGTCTGGCTTTCATAGTGCTTTAAATCTCCATCTTAACTGTGGCTCGTGCCTCCTGGGTAGCTCGTGGCTCTGAGAAGCCACGTGCAGGCTGTTCATAGCCCTTCCTCACAAGCTGCTGGCTTTGTTTTATCGGTTATTTGGTGCTCTGTGGGTGGTGGACCTGGGGCAGAGCGAGTTACCCTGCTGTGCAGGAGGGCTGGGGTTGCCTCCCCATGAGGGGGAAGGACCTGCTGGCCACCTGCCTTGCCCTGGTGTCTCCTCTGGGTGGACAACTGAGAGCAGCTTGCTTCCCCAAGCAAAACCTCCTCCCCTTGGCCAACACTTGCGTGCAAAATGGCAGGAGGAGACACAAATGCCTGTGGTGTTCCCTGTTTATTGAATCTTCTCCATCCACACCCCCTTCTTCTGCAGTATGGGCACAAAGTTGTGCGTTGTGTTAGGAATTGGAGACTTGCTTTACATCTTGCTTGTGCAAAAGCAGGGAGAGGAGCAGGCTCCTTCAGGAGACTCTCGTCTTGCTCAGCCCTGCATGTGAGTTGTAGCAAACGTTTCTGACAGCAGGAACTTGGGGAATATCTCTCTCAATATCAAAAGGAAGGAAAAAGGCAGCACTTCAGGTACCACCCCCTCTTCTTCCATGCAGTCGATTAGCTCAGCTGTTGGAAATACAGATTCCCTCCCGTTTCCACCAGAGGCAGTAAATGCTGTCCAGCCAGACACCCGTTTTTAAACACCTAATTCCAGACTTGGAGAGCTGGTGGGAGGCTTGTTTGTTCTTGGGTTATTCTTATCATCTTAGAACCAAATTCTGCTTCATGTGCAGGGTGAGAAGTGTTGCTGTTGTGTCATTTAAGGTCAAAGCCAAGCTAAAAAAAAAAAAAAAAAGACATTTTAGGGAACAGTCAAAATGCTTTGTTGTAAAAATAGAGATTTTTAGTCAAGTTAACTTGACAAATTATTGCACCCAGAGCATCTTTCTTGTCCTGTCACTGGGTCCCAATGGCTGGTTTTCTGCTTGTGGCTCATTCCCTCCTTGTGTATGTGTGTGTGTTGCAGACACCTGAATGGTTGGACAGCGACTCCTGTCAAAAATGCGACCAGCCTTTCTTCTGGAACTTCAAACAGATGTGGGACAGTAAGAAAATAGGTCTCAGGCAGGTTTGTATGGGTCCCTTGGGACACACGAGCATTCTGCAGTTAGGCTCCCCTCTCCACAGATCACAGTACTTGTTATTCCCCTAAAGGCACTTTGTGCACCTTGTGTTTGCACCGAGCACTCCGTGGTTGGGTGGTGAGCTCCAAAGGGCCATCAGGCTTGTTTTGCTTTGCAGGGGGGATGCACTGAGAGTCTGGCCTCTTAGAGGCAGAGGATATTTCTGCAGCTGGTCCCAATAGGAAATGCATAAAAGAGATGTTGGGCTGAGTAAATTTGCCGTTTCTGGGCTGCGCATGGCTTTATCCATGTGGGAATTTAGCTTATTGTCAGTTGAATTGGTTTTAGAGAGAATTGCGCAGCTGATTTCTGGAGATAGTGTTGGAAGCAAAGCTGTTTTCCATGGGCTTGGGTAAACATCTGTAACCGCTCAGGCTGTGTTGGGAAAGGCTTCTTGGCCTGTTTGGAACAGGCAGTTACATTTTCCTGCCCAGTATTTTTTCCTTTTCTGCAATTTTACACTTCTGAAGTGTAAGAGAGAAAGAAAGGAGTGTAAAATTGCAGAAAAAGGTGATCTTACAGAGCTCAGCATCAATATTTTTCCTCCTCCCATCCAATTACACCCCATTTAGCACCGATCAAACTCACATTCTGTAAGGAGCCCTGACCTGCAGCTGCATCCACAGCACTTAGGAGGAGAGGAGATGATGATTTATGGTGTGATGCACGTTTTGACCCTGGAGCATAAGGGAGAGGTGGAGCCACCTCGCCTGGACGGAGCTTCGTCTGCAGCTCCCAGTGCGCGTGAAGAGCTGCTGCTAGCCCCAGATAAACAAAGAAAATTAACAGTACAATTTTTTTTGCCCCCATTTACTCTAATGGTTTTTTGCCTTTGTTTTCCCTGGAAAAGTTGTTTTTTTTCCTGCGTGCTGCAGCTTTGGCTTAGTCTTGTTGAAGTGAATGGGTAGAGTCATGCAGAATGACAGAGGGGTTGAGGTTGGAAGGGACCTGTAGGGATGATCTAGTCCAACCCCCTGCTCAAGCAGGGACCCCTAGGGCACCTGGACCCCTAGATCCGGGCAGAGCAGAGCGGGTGCCGATGTCTCCTTTGCGTTGCTCCCGCAGCATCACTGCCGGAAGTGTGGGAAGGCCGTGTGTGGCAAATGCAGCTCCAAGCGCTCCTCCATCCCGCTCATGGGATTCGAGTTTGAAGTGCGCGTCTGCGACAGCTGTCACGAGTCCATAACAGATGAAGAGTAAGTGCGGGCAAGAGTGGTGGTGGAGGGGTGGCCGGGGGGGTGATTCCCAGGTGCTTTCTCCAAGGGATGGCCCATGCTTCCCAAATCAGGTGGAACCACCTTCCGTCCCTGTCTCCTCTCCTCGCAAACGTGGCAGGGGAAAACCCTGCGGTCCTCGTCTTTGCTGATGTGGGGTCTTCTTCTTCAGGCGGGCACCCACAGCTACTTTCCATGACAGCAAGCACAACATAGTGCACGTGCACTTCGATGCCACCAGGGGATGGCTCCTGACCTCGGGCACAGACAAGGTTATTAAGGTAGGAGGGAAGAGATTTCCCCAGCTCTTGTGCAGCTCTTGTGTTGCATCTCCCCTCCCTCTCCCTTGTGAGTCCAGGTATGTCCCACCTGCTCTTTCACCTGCACAGATATATCTCACAGTCACGATTCCCCTCTTCTGCCCGGTAAAAGTCATCAGTATTCCTTCTCCATTTAGGAAAATTGGAAATTGCTTTATTCTAAAGCTCACTGAGTTTCAAAGTCAGACTTTGGAAATCCCCTGTCCGGAATGTTTTTGTATGTGAGTCTTGTGAAGCACTCAATAAAACCTACAAATTCTTCCTTCTGTCACAGCACACGTTTTTAGGGGTGAGGAGAAGGGTTAGTTTCTGTAGGAAGAATATAAAGAGGATGTCCTAAGAGAGTGGCATTTGTGTATAATGTAATGAATAAAGTATTGGTGATCCAGAGCTTTCTGCCTTTGGCAGGGAAGCAGAGAAGCTCAGCTACCTAGATAAAGGTCACTTTTGGAAAGCTGAAGGTATGTGCTCAACTAAAATAGACACAAGACCACCTACAAAAGGTCTTCCAGGTACATGGTTGTCTGATTTATGAATATATCACTGAAAAATGATTTTAAGTCTTAGCCTATGAAGTTATTGCCTGAAATGGCTGGGACTAGACTGAGACTAGACATTCAAGACAGTGTTCACTGCACCTTTTCCTCAGGAAAGACAGACTGTTTCCATATGTCCAGTTCAGCTTATGTGGCTAGAGGAAGTGAAGCCCTTCCACTGTCAAATCTCCCTGCACAGAAATAGCTAAAATCATGAATAGTTCTATAACAAAGCTCTATTTTAACAATTTAAACCCCTCATGATGTGTTGTGACTAGGCTAATCTTGGAGGTTAGCAATACACTGTGGTTTCTGGTCCCTCTTAAGGACCTGCTACAGCTGTGAACCTGGCTTGCAATGTGAACACTAATGACGTGTAGAGTGTCATTTGGTCAAACTCCACCAGTCTGACGTGAATGCTGAAAGATGAAATCAAACTTACTTGGAACAGATGCTTCCATTTTTGACCAAATTTCTTCCCTTAAGCAAAAATAAAAAGTGCAAATACATAGACAGAGCATTATATGCCATATTATATTTTATTATTTTTTACCATCATTAATTGAATTATCTTTTTTTATTATGTTAACAGTTGTGGGATATGACACCAGTAGTGTCTTGATGATGCAGCAGGGGAACTTGCAAGGAAGTATTTACAGAAGAAGCAGATTCCTAACCCTAATCATACTGCAGATGGTAGATAACGCCGGGCGCCCACGGCAGCGAGGAAGGAACTAATGAGTTTACAATGATTTTGTGTCCTCTGCTTGACCAAGGCTGAACATTTGCACGAAGACTCTTTCCACTTACTCTCAAAAAATATACAAGAAGGTATTTTTTTAAACTAATGGTTTGTACGACCTGACTGTGCTTGGCTGTCCTGAGTCTGTTTGGAAAATCTGTGTGCGGTGCAATTTTTCTTTTTTTGTATTTCATTATGTCAAAACCCTTGCTGCTTTGTACAGAAGGCCCTGGGGCTGTGTCTGGCCACGTGCGTTCCCCACATCCACGTGCTGCGTGAGCGGCCGGATCTCTGCGATGCTTCAGCTGGCCCGGTAGGGAAGCTCGGGGCCGGGCACTGTACGTTCCCTCGCCGTGTCCCCGAGGATCACGTGGACCGTGGCGCTTCCCACAAGGGCTCTATGATCCGAGCCAGCGCCGCCGGGAGAGGTTTTATTGCTGGCTTTTTTGTGTCCAAAACACGGCTTCCTGGCTCCTTCCCTGCTGCACAAGTGGCAGAACGAGGGGGCAGGCTGCTTGGCGACTTATTCCTGCAAAAGCTGAAGTAGTTTTGCAGCTCCGAGCATCGCTAGGAGCGCAGAGGTCTGTTTGACTTCGGTGTGAGGCTGACAGGCTCGTTCAAATCAAATTACTGGCAATTGAGGCCTTGGGAGTGTGTACACAGAGTGGGGGGCTTCTAAAACCAGTCTGGGTCTGAAAAGTCTGTTTTACCTCTACCTCGCGCAGCAACATTTCAGCATTTATACCGGTCGCTGTCATCGAAGATGATCTTGATTTTCCTGTTTTCTGTATGGTTAGTCATATTTATTTTTAAAACGCTGATGGTTTTTATTAATTTCCTCTACAGACCAGAAACTGAGACTGCTGGATGACACCCACTGTCCTATTGTCATATTTGGCAGTTTCTTTTAAAAATAAAAGAGTATTTAAAAGCCTGGCTTGACCAAAATTACCTTTCAGAGAGGACGTTGTCAAGATGAATAACAAAAACAGTCCCTTTCTCAGACTGTTCTCAGACTCAGGATCTGAAAAGCCGTCTCACAATTCCTTTAATCCATTCCACTTTCCAACACGTCGTCGCTGGTGCTCTTGGAAGAAACTGGCCCACAGAACAGGGCCGTGGAGCAGAGCCGGGAGCTCCCATCCCTGCCCCGTGCAAACCTGGTGCTCTGCTTTGCTGCCCCACAGCAAGGCCCTGGTGCTCCCGTTCACACATCTTGTACTTCCCTCTTTCCTGCTAAACTGAGGAGGTGACTGGTCTTTTCACCATAAAACACGTTGTTACGTGGGGAAAAGTCACAGCTGGGGCTGAGTGGTAACTCTGGAGGGAGGCAGAGCTTCTCATTGCTTGTCTGGCAGCAGGTCCTGTGTGAGTGGGAGAAGGTGGGGAAGGCAACTGTGGCGTTAATTCTTGGCTGAAGAATTGCCACAGCAATGCCTGCAGTGTTTGTGGCAGGACTGCTGCATGTTTTCAGGGAAATTTTTTCTTTTTATTCATCCTAGGAAGTGGGCTTCAGCATTCTGCCGTCCTGTTGTCTGAACTCACGTCCCTCTGGCTTTCCTGGCCAGAAGAAGCCACTTGGCCCCACCATAGGCAGCCTATTCCAGGGCACATTTCCAGACATGATTCACAGAGCACCAGAAAGATTCTTCCCTTTTCCCGGTTTAGTTCTTCTGTAAGTCCTGCTACTTTCTGTCCTGGAAGGTGGACGCTTGTTCCCCTTGGATGGCTTTTCAGGCCCCCTTGTGCTTGTTTCCCAAAGAGCTCCCGGCTGCCGAAGCCGGGCAGGACGAGCCCATGGCCTGACAAGGTTTCGTGTGGGCCTGAGCAGCCGCGTGCAGCTTTGCCCACCCGTGTCCACCCTACCTCAGGCTCGAGGCCTTTGGGCCAAGGACAGATTGGCTTCGCTGCCACAGAGAGTGTCTTGCTGCTCCTCAGGAGATGGAGTGGTTGCAACAAGCCTGGATGCAATGGGAATCGTGCTTTCCTTCACGGAGCTGCGAAAGCGGCAGGCTGGGCATCCACCCCCCAGGTCAGTCCGCCGGTACCCCATGGAAATTCAAATAAAAGTGAGGGGCCCAGCTCTAAAGACAACTAAATTTGGAAGCGAGGCATGTTTGGACTATTCTGCAGTAAACTCTTGGAGCCGCTTCTCTTCCCAAGGAGTTGTGGCTTCCGTGTCACAAGGAAACGTAGGGGTGGATGCTGGAAATATCAATCCATTTTGCAGAATTTCCCCTTTTGTTTTCTCTCTGACTAAAGTACCTGTTGGGTTGTCTGAATTTCGCTTGAATGTCCCAGTATCTTGGGTTTGCAGGATAAAAAGGCCTAGGTCTGGGCCTAGTAAGTCCTATAAGCTGATGGGGGAGCTAGGAGGGGGCAGAAAGGAAGTGTGACCCCTTGCTATGATCTTAAGAGGTAGAATGTAGAGATTTGGGGGAAAATATGCATAGACTCAAGCAATATTTCCTTTAACCTCCCAAAAGAAACTGGAAGGATTTGACATTGGGAGGGTTAAAATCCCCTCCCCTCCTGCCCCATATGGGTTTCTTTTGTCCTCCGAATGAGCACAAATGGGGCTCCCAGCTGCCCGGGCCTCCCTTTTCCTCTTAGCGCCCAGAATAACCAGCCTGGGCCGTTACCATGAGCGGGGCTCCCCATGGAGTGTCCCTTGGAGCAGGCCGGGCTGGCAGTACCCCGACGCGCTTGGGCCAAGCCAGGCCCTTTCCCATGGGCTTTCTGGATCGCGGGACATGATCCCTGGGCTTGGGGCTGGTGGCTCTAGGAAGGTGGCACCTGGAGGACACGCAGAAAGGACCATGCGGGATCCAAGAAGGGTGTAGAGAGAAAGTGTTTTTGCTTTTTCCCTCAGCTTGCCTCTTGAGAGGAACATGCAAGTTTTTCTCTAGGGGAGCCCACCAAACATCTGTATCCTCTGCGTGGCTTAAAAACTGAAGAAAAGATGTGTCTTTCCTTAAATCTAAAGTGTTGGGGCTCTTGTCAGTATTTGTTAATGCTACATTTGACCGTTCTCACTGTTTATAACAGGGCTTGGGTGCGAACAACTGACATTTGGTTTTGTAGCACGTAGAGCTAGTTTTGCAGTGTGTGGCATGGCGTGTCCTGGTCCTCTCCAGGAGACCTCCTGGAGCAAATGGGATGTTTTCAATTAGGAGCTACCATGTTTGTTTCTGTACACGACAACAGTACTCGACAACAACAACCACCACCACCACGTTTCCTTCCTTTGCAGGATGGATGCCAGGTTCCCTCAGCACCGACCGCTTGTGTAACTGAGGGAAATTTCAGAGGGACCCTCTGTTACCTCGTTGTCACTTCACAAAATCTGTTTTTTTCTTGACCAGTCCAAAAGCTGTGATTTAGTTTTCCAGAAGCTGTAAATGAATTTTGATTTGGTCCTTATTTGGTTAGCTCTTAAGCCCACCATGCTAACACATCTCTTAGGAACTTCACTATCCATCAGAATATTTGATTTCACATGGAAAGTATTTCCAGCTTTGGTTCTGGTCAGGGTTTTCTAGGGCTATTCCTCAGCAATCGGATTGCTTTCTTTCTCTGTTATATTGCAACTTTTCTCTGCCATTTCTTTATGTAAGTAGTAGGTGTCTCCAACATAGCTGAATAAACCTTGCTAGTTCAACTCAACCGAATTCATTTCCACCAGCTTCTGCCCATTGTTTTTCCTCTTCTGTCTGTGTGTTTCCACGTTGACTTGTAACATGGAATTTGGCATTTCACCGGACCCGTTCTGTTTGTTGGCATAAAGCTGGCACCTGCTCTCTTAGCAAATGGGCTCTTTCCTTTAACACGATGAATTTTTACTTTCATGGCGGTGATGAGGAGCCTACAGACACAGGGGCTTGGGCACTGTGCCCCGTCTCTGCATCTTCCCAAGGCTGCCTGCGGATTGCCTTTCCCAGCTCCTGCCGTGCCTGGAAAACCAAGGGGAAATCACCATGGGGAAGCTTTCCAGCCAGCCAGGAATCCTGCAGCTCCCTGAGGCTGGCGCTGCCGAGGGTTTTGCCGCTCTTTTCCTGCCCATCAGGTTTGTATCTGGGAAGCGGCACTTGCACCACTGGCACGGCCACAATTTGAGTCGTTCCTCTCGATTTCTTGTGCCCAGGGTGGAAATTCTGCCCCGCTGCAGCCCTTTGGCCCTGCTGACAGGGCCTCTTTGGGAGGCTGTGCTGCAAGGTCTGCCTTGCTAGGGGATGGGCTTTCTTCCCAAACATGCTCCGTCTTCCCCACCAGCCTCTGCCAGTTGCCCCCAGGGAGAGGCAACTCACTGGCACTCTCCAGGGAGAGTGCTCCACTCACTGAATTAAACATTGCTCGATGAAAATTGGTGCTGCTTCTACTCATTATGGTTTCAAAGAGCTCTCAGTATCTGCAGTTTACTCCAGAGTGGTATTTATATTTAAAATGCTTTCCAATTTAGTAGTAGGGTTTGGGGGTTTATGGGCTTGGGGGAGTTTCGTTGTGGTACGTCCAGGGTTATTTTTTCAGGCCCACCCCTGCTTGCTATAGAGAGCAGTTCTACCAAAACCAAACCCACAGAACGCTGGCAGAGCCTGGGTACTCAAAGCCAAACTACTAACGACCGCCTGCACCTTCATCAGCCACAGTTTTGTTCTTTAACAAAGAAACATGGCCCAAAAATGAATCAGGAAGAGAGGAAATGCTGTTTGCAGAGTCACCTGGTGTCCCCAAAGGCCCTGAGGAGGTTTCAGTGGTCCTGTCGCCCTGTGGTGACCGAGGGCCCCTGCGACACGGGGGTGCTGCAGTCCTGCTTGTGCAAAACAGCAGCAGCCCTGGGTGGCACGAGGAAATGAAGGAAAGCGGGAGAGCCTTCCCAGCGGGAATAACCAGATGCCTGAAGTCAGAATCACTCGAGCTTGGAAGAAGAGCAGGGCTCTGAGCGCAGAGGGAAGCGAAGGGAGAACGGCCGCCGTGCTGCTATTTCAGGTCCTATAACACACGTGGATTTTTAAGTCTGTGTTAGTATTTCAGGTCCTATAAAAGAGGTGTGTTTTCAAGTCTGTAGTGTGTATGGCTTGACAGGAATTGGTACCACCTTATGTCTGACCATATTTCACTAGATGCCATTTTTCTCTTGCCCCTAAAAATTTCCTGCACTGAGACATGTATGCAGGAGACAGCAAGTGTTTTTGCTTACATGCAGGTGCAATTTATTCTGAGCTGCATTAACATAAAACATTTTGCTCGCTTTATTGCTACATACCTCATTTGCTCTTATGGAAAAGGTATGAAATAGATCATCATTGGGAACATTATACCAATAGTATGGGAGACTGTAGATGCTGTTTCTACCTATGTTTATTTTTTTATCACAAGTGCACTTACACCATAGTATAAAATATCTGGTTCGGGGTTTTTTTGTTCGTTTTATTTTAACACTATGACCAAACATAGATTAAAGCAGTTTTCATACTGTTGCCCTCATTTCCAACCTAAGCTGTGACTAAAAAGAAAATTAAGGGATATTTAAATATATCAGTACAGAATGTGGACTAAAATATACATTAAAGTGCACTTTTGGTTATTTTTATGAACTGTTTGGACATCTGCCATTCAACTTTTCTTCTATACTGTAGAGCTGAGACGTGATTTGAGTTAAAGCACTCAAGTATACAAACATTGTCTTAATTTGCTCTGAAGCTACTAGATTGAGAAGTGCGGTTACTGTGTGTGCTTTGTGCCATGCTCTTGCTTTCAGGACTCTATTTAACAGTTTCAACAATGTAAAATGTTGTTAATACAAGGTTTGGGGGAAATAAAGGCATGTGCAAACCTTGCTGTCACTTCCTTTCATTGCAGTGTGAGGAAGAGGTAAGCTTCTAAAGTGCAGCAGCAGTCTCTTCAGGAGGAAGCGTGATGGCCTGAGGTGTTTCAACAGCACCTTTCTTGGGAAAACTTACTCCTCTCTTTGTAGGAAAGCCTATATTTTAGGTGCAGCTGACTACAGAGTGAAAAAGTTTTTCTAAACTAATACTCAATAGGATGCCTTTGAGTAACGAGTAAATGCAAAATGTTGAAGAATAATCTTGATTTGAAAGTAGACTTCAGCCAGTAGGATCTCTTTCTGGTAATTAAATTGGGTAAAGTAGATGTAATGATTTCTCCTCGGCCCATCAGCATGGCCTCAAGCAGTGTCACTGCAGAGAACTACAGAGAGCATCTGTCTTATTTCTGTGTCTAATTCTTTGGTCCTGACACGCTGATCTCCAACCATGTGTTGGAGAAGAACATGGAGGAGAAGCAGGAGGTGCTGTGTGCAGTAATCTTGGCTTCGCACTAGTTAATATGTGAAACATGTAAGATGAAATGAGTCCCACCTGGACATTAGTCTGAACTGGATTATCTTTAAAACCCAATACAAGGTATAGGTGCTCAGGAGTTATTTCCAAACAAGGCTTTTCTCCCCTGCCTGAAGGGGAGGGATCCAGTCACACCAGCGTGTGGGGAGTGTCGAGGTCCCTGCTTCAGGGGGCTGGATGTAAAGGGGTAACACTTAGTCCTGGCTCCAGGAAGTAACGTGGCTGGTGTTTGGCAGCATTCCTAAATGCTTGCTGTTTAAATCTCAGGAAGCAGATCCCCTGTGCATACCAGGGCTCAATTACAGACACCAAAGGCTGTGGGAAATCCTTCCTTTTAACGCAGGCACTGCAGAAGGGAGCTGCTGCATCCCTGATCAAAGGCTAGAGCACCCCCGCCCCTCGAAGAAAGCCAAAAAACAGCCAAATACAGCATTTAGTAACAGTTTTTCTCTCCTGAAGTCCTTCAGAAGAGCTGCTTCCCAGGATTTCTCTGCATGTCGCAGGTTTTAGAAGATCTGGGGTAAATCCACAATGCCTAATGCCATCATGGGGTTTTACTCAGTTTCAGTGGCTCTGATTTTTTCTTCCAGCTCAGCCTCACCATATCCTCAGGGAGGCCATGTGCACGTCACAAGGGAAGGGCCTCTCAGCAGCAGAACTATTTTGCAACCACCGCTGTGTCCCACTACGAGCCCACCTGAATGCAATTCATTTGTTACCAGACCTGTGGCACCCTGCCTGTCCCCTGCATGCAGCCACCGCTGTACCCTCACGGTGTCATTAGAAGCCTCATGGTTACACTCTGTTAGCAGTGACACAAGTTCCTGGAGCAGCGGATTTAAACTTCTGGGAAAATTCTCAGGATCTCTGTTAGCTTCTCCCCGTCCTCTGGCAGGCTGTGAGTTCTTGCTAAGGATGAGTGTGTAGCAACTGGTTGTCTGTCTGCAAGGAAAAATAAACGCCCATTTAACTATTGATCTAGCACAAGGGAGATTTTTCTACAGAGCTCTGTACTTCCCAAAAATACTTCATGGTCGTGAAGCCAGAAGACTTATCTTCTATGTTTCTGTAAACAGTGTTAGTTCAGTACATCTTCCAAATCAGAAATTAAACTGATTTCATTTGAATTATTGAGCTAGAGAGACTGCTCTTTTGCACAGTATGACTTAAGAGGAGAGATCTCATTGCAGCCAGACACAGGACAAATTGTGGGGTTTAGACCTGCTCTCTGTCACTACTGTAACTGTCGTAGATAAAGACCAGTAACTTGAGAATATTGGTGCAGGCAGAATTTGTTTTTCCAGCATGAGACATGGGTTTTCCTTGGCTCAGAACAAGTCATCTTAGGGCTGTAGGAATTTTGCAGTTGGGACTGCGCTGTCTGGACTATTTTCCTCCTTAAAATGCTCACTTTTTTACATAGTGAGATTCTGAATGCTAACGGGCTATTGCTCAGCATCCAATATCAAGATGTCTAACCAAGCTTGCTCAGTTTGATGCTTTAGCTGGTTCCCTCCTTGCTCCCTCTGCATAAACATCGCTTCTGTCGGTGCTCTATTACTGCCCATTCCAAGCTATCTTCCAGTGAGAGACTTTTCTCTCCAAAAACATCATAGCTAGAGCCTTGCAACCCAACGAAAATGCCCTCAGGCTCCTCTAAAGCAACCACCGGGGCACTGCAGCAGCCCCATTAGCCTGGTTAGTAAGTCCAACTTGTGCAGTTTCCAGGCAAACGAGCTCTTCCACTGCAGGGCTGCAGATTCCTCAGGAAAACGAGCACTCTGCCTGCAGGCTTCCCAGGGGAGCAGGGGGGTTTGGTCTCCAAAGAGCAAACGTCACAACTGGCTGCACACCCCACATTACCTCTGCTCCTGGAAAGCTGAGGAGGGAGACATGCAGAGGAACGTTCCCTCCTTCACCACTGCACAGGAGCTGCTTCCTGCATCATGGAAAGGGCTGTTTCGAGTAGCTGGTGTGCAAATGTTTGGGAACGATGTGTGCAAGCCAAGCTCTGCGCCATGGAGAAGGTGCTTCTAATCTCTGGAAGGCAGGACTCTGTCAAACAGCTTGTTTATCTTGGCAGATGTAGAGAATTCTGGTTGTACGAGTCATGCTCTCACTTCCCATTTCTTTTCTTGGGAAAAAAAAAAATGCTGGCTCTGGTTGCACCTGAAAGGGAACGGAATGAAAGGGAACAGAGGAAATGGAGGAAAGGTGCTGCTGATGTGGGAAATGGCCGCCTAGGCTCCGGGGAGCTGGGCCTGTGCTAGGCCCTGCAGAGGAAGCCCTTTGCTGAACGGGCCTCTACAGAGCAGACAGCCCAGGAGAGCATGGCCTGACCTACCTCTCTGCAGCAGACACGGGGCACGAGGCTGCTCTGGCAGCCTGAGGGGCACTCAGGCCAGGCCCAAAGCTCTCTAGGGGCATTAAGTGCAGCTGCGGAGCCAAGGCTTGCACCCTGTTTACTGAAGCTGGGGTAGTGAAAGGCGAAAGGCAGGAGAATTGCTGCAATTGTCAGTGTCAGGACCAGAAGAAAAGCAAGGTGACAGGTGAATATGAAGAAAAGCACAGTCTGGTTCTACAAGGAATGACCAGCTTAGATATGTAGTTGGTGCATGGATCACAAAATGCCATTAAAAAGGCCAGGGTGAGTTATCTGTCAACCAACCATGTTTGGGAAGGGAGAGAGAGGACAAAGTTAACCCAGCCATGGGAAGGTCCAAGCTTCCCAACCAGACCTTCCAGCAAATGAGGCTGGAATGAGGCTGTGAGTGCCACGTTGAACAGAAGGACGAGGCTCCTGCGAGTCCTTGCTCCGAGCCTGGCCTCTCTCTCACTGGCCTGACCCACATCAGGCATGGGACGTTCATGCTTACAGCTGCCCCTAATAAAACGCCTCTGGCATCTGCATGGAAGAGGGAGAGGCTCTGACCTATTTTTCCACTTGCATTCCCTGTGAAAATGTCCTAAATGTCGATGAGCTCCACTCTCTGCACAGCTTTAGAGAAAGAAGGAGCTGGCGCTTGGACACTAGCACAGGGAGGCAGGAGGGGCCTGTCAACACAAACCACCCTCCAGTGCTTTGTGAGGAGCACGGGAGCTTCCCAACATCATAAAAGGTGCTGTTTGACTGCTGTGGTTCACCTACCCTCTGGCACAGTCCTGCATGGAGCCATCTTCATTAAAAAAAAAATTAGGTACTGCCTAGAAAAATGCTTTGAAGTCTCTATTACCTGAATTAGAAGACAAAAGCAGGAACATAACAGCCAAGTTAACGCCGTCTCTCTCTGGCTGTGCAGTGCTTGCTTGAGCCTTTAGTCATGGAACAGTTTGGGGAAATGTTTTATTCTCTGAAATGTCGTCTGGTGGGGCCTTCATCCCCTTCTAGGTCAATTTATAGGGAGAAAACTACCAGCATGTGAGAATAGGAATCAGTGAGAGATTTCCAATCCAATTCTATTATAAATTGCAAAGAAGTAGAACATAGAGTAAACAGAAATATGAAGAATCATAACAAATCTTTAACTCTTTTTTTTTTTTACCAGTTTTAGGAAAATCAATTGTATAATATTTCACAAGTGTATGGAGAACAGTGCCTAAACCAACAATAGAACTCATGCTTAAATATTGGTTTGTTTCTATTTCGTCAAACAGGTGATGATTGAAGGTCTCTTGTCTGCAGCTATTTATTTTGGGAGGCACTGGGAAATCCTCAAGCCGCAGGATGGGATAACTTCAAAGCTCATTTGGTTGGAAATATATGACGGACTAGCAAGGGGGTGCAAAACGACCTTAATCACCAATTTGGAGGCAAGAAATTGCTGCAACTGTTAAAGAAAGATACTAGAAAGTTTCAAATCTCTCAGCTTTTAGACTAATCCTGGAAAGAAAACAGAGAGTCAGAGTCTCTCAAGCAGATGGTACCTGCTCAGCCGGGGTGCGTGGCAGAGAAGTGGGTGTTTCTGTGAGCTTTTGCCCTCTGTTCTGTCAAGACAACTTGGTGTCTCTGGAGTAGAAGAAAAACAGCCCAATGAGCACCGAGTCCATTAGCCTGGCCACCGAGTTTGTTCTTCTGCCTCACTGTAACCAGCAGCGCGAGTTCCCCAGGGAGATAAACTGCTCCAAAGCTGGAATTACACAGGCATTTTGGTAGAGCAGAACTACACCTTTGCTCATCCTGCCTGGGTTTATTGGATAATCAGAGACCCCCATGGTCATTGCAGTGTGTATCCTGGCCCCAAGCTTGTCCTTAAAGTACGCAGTTAGCATTGCTTGTACTGCCCAAGCCTGCTTGCTGCAGCTGAGAACTGAGCAGGCAGAGAGGGCTCGCCAGCTAAAGATAGTTTTCTCTCCTTGAGCCTTAAATAAAATAAAATTAAAGTCATGATCTCAGGGCAAAATAATGGGTATGCAGGAGTACATGCCATGGTACTCCTGAAAATGCTGTCTGTACTTTAAAATGCCATAGCTGGTCTAACCAAAGCAGGAAATTTCTTGTATTGATGAATATTATTGCAGGTGGTCTTTATATGGATTGTTCACAATTGGAGAGCAATAATGGAGAGTATGGTTTTTGCAAAGCAGATGATATGAGCAAGAGATGCCAGGGATAACAGGAAGGGCTTCTATAAATACATCAGCAGCAGGAGGAAGGCTAGGGAAAACACTGGTCCACTGCTGAGTGGAGAGGGTACCTTAATGATGGAGCATGCCGAGAAGGCAGAGTTACTAAATGGCTTCTTTACTGCTGAGGCTCGTCCCCATGAACTACAGAGCCCAGATATGAGAGATATAAGAGAGAGAACCAGGAGAGAGGAAGACTTTCCATTGGTCGAGGAGGATTGGATTAGGGATTATTTAAGCAAACTGGACACCCATAAATCTATGGGCCTCGATGGGATGCACCCAAGAGTGCTGAAGGAACTGTCAGGGGTTGTTGCTCAGCCTCTCTCCATCATCTTTGAGAGGTCCTGGAGAGCAGGGGAGGTGCCCGAGGACTGGAAGAGAGCCAACGTCACTCCAGTCTTCAAAAAGGGCAAGAGGGAGGAGCCGGGCAATTACAGGCCGGTCAGCCTCACCTTTGTCCCTGGAAAGGTGATGGAGCAGCTCATCCTAGAAAGCATCTCTAGGCATGTCAAGAAGGAGGTGATCAAGAGTAGTCAGCATGGATTCACCAAGGGGAAGTCATGTCTGACGAACCTAATAGCCTTCTATGATGAGATGACTGGCCAGCTGGACAAGGGGAGAGCCATGGGTTTTGTCTGCCTTGATTTCAGCAAGGCTTTCCACACTGTGTCCCATACTATCCTCATACGGAAGCTCCGGGAGAGTGGACTAGACGAGTACACAGTGAGGAGGATCGAGAACTGGCTGGATGGCAGAGCTCAGAGGGTGGTGATAAATGGAGCTGAGTCCAGTTGGAGGCCTGTGGCCAGTGGTGTCAGTACTGGGGGTCAGTGCTGGCCCCAGTGCTGTTCAACCTGTTCATCAATGACCTGCACGAGGGCACAGAGAGTACCCTGAGCAAGTCTGCAGATGACACCAAGCTGGGTGGAGTGGCTGTGCTCCAGAGGGCTGTGCTGCCATCCAGAGGGACCTGGACAGGCTGGTGAGTTGGGCAGAGAGGAACCTCATGAGGTTCAATAAGGACAAGTGCAGGGTCCTGCACCTGGGGAGGAATAACCCCAGGCACCAGTACAGATTAGGGGCTGACCTGCTGGAGAGCAGCTCTGCAGAGAAGGACCTGGGAGTCCTGGTTGACACCAAGTTAACCATGAGGCAGCAGTGCCCTCATGGCCAAGAAGGCCAATGGGATCCTGGCTGCATCAGGAGGATGTTGCCAGCAGGTCAAGGGAGGGGATCCTGCCCCTCTACTCAGCTCTGGAGTGAGGCTGCACTTCGAGTATTGGGGGCAGTTCTGGGCTCCCTGGGACAAGAGGGATGTGGAGCTCCTAGAGAGGGTCCAGAGGAGAGCAACCAAGATGATTAAGGAATTGGAACATCTCTCATATAAGGAGAGACCGAGTGAGTTGGGCCTGTTTAGCCTGGAAAAGAGAAGACTGAGAGGGGATCTGATCAAGATGTACAAAATACCTGAGGGGAGAATGGAGGGAGGAAGGGGCCAAACTCTCCTCAGTGGTGGCCAGTGACAGGACAAGCGGTAATGGGTGCAAGCTGCAACACAGGCAGTTCCATCTCCATGTGAGGAAGAACTTCTTTCCTGTGAGGATGCCAGAGCCCTGGCACAGGCTGCCCAGGGAGGCTGTGGAGTCTCCTTCTCTGGAGATCTTCCAGACCCGCCTGGATGCCGCCCTGTGCCCCGTGCTCTGGGTGTCCCTGCTGGAGCAGGGGGTTGGACTAGATGATCTCGAGAGGTCCCTGCCAACCTCAACCAGTCTGTGATTCAGTGAGGCTGTGAATATTGCCTTTGTTCTCTCTACTAATTTCCCTGGGAGCAGGATTTTTGTGCATACTCTGTATATGCCTGTGGTCAAGTAGGAGCACTCCTGAAGATGAGGTGAAGCAATTTTTTTTTTTTTTTAAGTGATTTTCATTCAAAATGCTGTTGACCCATCAGGAACTGTCTGTGCTTTCTTTTGGTGAAAAATAATTGTGAGAATGACAAGAGCAGAGTAGAGCTGTTTGTAATTTCTATATTTAGCACTTACAGAAAAAAAAGAAATACTGTAAGAAAACTAGGAAATTTAATTTTAAAATTGTACTTTCTGTGCTATTTTACAAGAACAAAAAGGTTCTTTTAAGCCTATACTCCTATTATAAGTATTTTGCACTCTGCTGCAGCAGATAACTTGCCCTGAGGAAACAAAAAGAAGTTTCCTAGGAAGTGTTCTCCTTTGCTTTCCAATGCAGGGTTGAAGGCAGCAGGAAGGAACTTTACCTTGAAGGAGGAGCCCCTCAGCATATTCTGATATGTTTCTTGAGATACTTATGGTGTTGTATCTAATCCTGGGTAGCTAACACAAGCAAAGCGAGGCCGTCAGAAACCCCGGGCACAGGATGGTACCACAGCCTTGGCAGCAGCATCACCGACTCAGCTCTCTGGGATTAGCTGCTTTTTCCAGCAGGGACAGGAGGGCAGTTGTCCGAATGCACGTCTCTAACAAGAAAGATAAATATGAATGTTAATTTTTCTTTCTGAAAAAGCTTTCTTCTCTTCTTGCCCTCTATAACAAATTAAAATGCAGTCAAGTACAGTCAGTACAAGTCAAGGGCAAGACAATGATTTGGGGTTTCTTTTTACCACTTAAGACACATTTTAAAGGTTTGTTTTCCTTTAAACTGTGTGTAAAAAGTTCTCAACTGTTTAATTCAAAATGAATCTCTCTAGCACCACTTAGTCTAGCGTTTTTGCATCAAGTAAGATGCTTGGTCAAGATCAAGTATAATACTTCCCCCTTGGCCCTTCCCTAGCGGCTCCAGGGCAATAGCTGTGTGTCAGTGATAAACACATATTTTTTTCCACGAGCTACTGAGGCTCGTGACTTCAGCAGCTCTCTCTATAACCTCCCTTGCGCCGAGGCGATGAGATCACCCAGCAGAAGTGCAGCTCGTTCATAAACACGCTGCCAAAGTGAACCCTGTTACATGCCTGGCGAGCAAACCGTGCAGCTCCCCGCCAGCCTCCACCGTCCTTCTTCCCCAGGAGGACCACGGGGATGTCCATAGGCACCCGATGCACTTAAAACCCAGGCAAAGAAGCAAAAGGAGAGGCAGCTGCTAGTGAATAATGAGAGTGTGAGTGTCCCCGGGTGGCTGTGGGAACGCTGAGGGATGACATCATTAGGATGAAAACTACTGTGATTGTCACGGGAGATGGCTGTGAGAGAAACAATAATAAAAAACAGCAGCTTCAGGATAAACTGAAAGGCTGGATTAAATTTCGATTTGCTCTAAATTCATCATATGCAGAATAACCTCACATTTTGGTTAAATGAGCTGCATTTCCTAGAGGCAGAGCTGCAGTGCAGCAGCTATGACAAGCCCTGCTTTGACTACCCCCAGACTAATTTATGCTTCATTTCTGCCTGCTGATTCTGAAGAGATGCAGGGATGGATGCATTAACATTGCCTCATTAACAACGGTGTTTTGTTTTGTTTTCCAGCTGGATGAGAGAAATGTTCGGCAGCAAAAACGCCACTTAGAGCAACTGCAGCTTCTCAGGAGCTTGTGTGTGTAGTTAAAACCACAAATCACAAAGTCAGCATCTCTGTCTTCTTTCAGTTAAACAGAATTCAGTAAATCCCACACAGTTGGACCATTATGTCTTTTTGCCCCACGAAACCACTTGCCCTTTTGCTTTGAGAGCCAGTATCAAGGGCCTGGTTCTGAACCCTGCTTGCTAGGGCAGGCACTAGGATCTCAAAACACATATCTGAAGCACAGGCTTCACGAGCACAGTGCTTTGTTCCTCCTACCACTAAATATTTCACCAACTGTTGTTCCAGTCTTATGTGTCTGCATACAGACTCCTGGATCTAACACATATACGGGATAGCACATGCTCTTATTTGCATGGCTGGTCTATGAGGCAAAACAACCTCAACAAGTAATTTTGAATGTGGTATATCTTTGCTTGAAATGCATCTGCACCAGGTTAGACCCCTGCAATTTTATCTCCATAAAAGCTGGCATGCAGGTTGATAGCTGCGTTCCAGCTGATAAGACTCAGACCAAGAACAGCCAGTCAAGAGGCCGGTCGCAGCCACCTACCCTCTGGCCTGCTTTCTTCCAAGCATGGATATGTTATAGTATGCAGAAATGAACTTCCTTTAAGTAAAAAGGAAGCAATATATGAATGTGTTGACAGCCACAGTCCTCATGCAAGTATGAACTGCCTGCACAAGCAGTACTGAAAAGAAACAAAGAAAAATTTTCTTATTTCTAATAACTGTTCCTCTGCAAGGAAAAACAACATTTTGGTTTGTTAGAGGAGGCTACATTCCCTACCCATTCAAGAAACCGGGACAATATCCAAACTATTTACA